TATTGATAATCAGGAAGAACTGGACGACCGTATTGTTCTTGTTTGAAACTCCTTATAAAAATGCTCCTGCAACCCATCTAGTGACAGGATTTAGCACTGTAAAGTTTCATAGTGAGAGCTCATTGAGTTAGGACCAAATGGTATCTCACGAGGCGGGATCGTGGATACGCACTGATGAAGAGTTCCTTACTAGGACGAAACTACCATCCAATGTTTCCATGATAGTCTAGCTTCAATTAACTTATAAATTCAACCATAAAACTAGTTTTACATTTGGGTCATCTAATGTATATCTAATTGATTGTAACAAAAATGAAATAAATCTTTTCCTTTATCTATTTGTCATTTACTATCCATATCTATCTATCTCTACATTCATTCATTCATTCATGCATATCAAATGATTAGAAGGATAAATTTGAAATGAAATAAGAATGATCATATCTTGATCTAGATAATATCTAGATCTATATATTCAATTCTATGATAGAACTAAAGAAACAACCTCCTTCTTATTATCTCTATTCTCATTTACATTGTTAAAGATTAATCATTTGATAATGATAATACAAAATTGGAAATGGAAACGAATAAGAGAAACGGGTTAAACTTGTTCTAAATCATACACACACACACACACAAGAAGACGTGCATGTATGTCAATGATTGAAGTCTGTCCCCATTTGTTTGTGTGTGTTATTGTTTTGTCATTACTTTAGATCATTTACATTTAGAATTACTTTTCTCTTACATTTTTTGTTGTTGTTGCTATCATAGAAACTTATTTAATGATTAACAGTAATTCGTTCATGTCTGATTAGGTGAAGAAGGCTCAGAAGTGGAAGGTGTGAAAGTAGAATATATACAAACATTGATGTATATGTATACCAAATGAATGGATGAAAGGGATAATATTTAAGTGTGTAAGTTGTTGTCGACATTGACAACAAAACATGTTAGTAATGTGTTAGTGTATTTGTTTGTTTGTATGAAAAGTCGAGATTGACTAAAGTGTCTAATATTTTGAAGATAATTGAAATGATTCTAATTTTGTTGTTGTTTATCTCATAAAAGGAAGAAGCAATTATATATATCTGAGTAGTTGAAAGCGTGAGTCAATTGAAACTAGACCACCATGGAGAACCTAGAAGCACTGGATAGCCGTTTCGTCTTATTATGGGACTCCTCAGAAGTGCGCATACACGATCCCGCACTCGCGAGATTCGAATCCAGGACCTATCAGTCTCGTGCCAGAGCACTTAACCGATAGACCACTGAGCCAGTCGGCATCCGATGGTGTTAATGTCTAACTTCAACTGATCCATGAAGTTGAGCAACCATTCACCAATTGTCTTCAATTAGTTGATATCTTACAACAGACGTGGTTTGAACTCCACGGTTAAGTGGTCTGACGTGAGACTGATAGGTCCTGGGTTCGAATCTCGCGAGTGCGGTATCGTGGATGCGCACTGCCACTGAGGAGTCCCATATTTGGACGAAACAGCCGTCCAGTGCTTTCAGGTTTACCATGTTGGTCTAGCTTCAATTGACTGACGCTTTCAACTATGAAAATACTGAAATCTTCACAAAACCCCTCCTGATAAGAGTTATATATATCGTTGTAAACAAAAATACTTGCTGTAAGCTTTACATTAATTGTACTAATAAGTTATTGCTTAGTGAGATAATTCGCTTACTCACCTGATTGACCTAATAAGTGTTGATTTTGTTTAGCCTAAAATACGCTTGATTACTTTTGTATATAAGCATGAGGAATACGTATCTATCTATCTATTTATCTATCTATCTATTCTTAACTGAATAGCTATAACAAATTCTGATCGTTTATGCAACAAATGTTAAGAGTTTGATCAAACAGACCAAAAGTTTAACTAAAATTTGTAACTAGCATCGGCAAAAGTAAATGAGAATATGACTCAATAGTTATATATTTATTTATTTGAACACATAAATATTGTTAAAAAAGGGGCACCGAATACATATACGTTACACAAGTCACTTGATTTGTGTTTGAGCTATGATATTGCCCAGGTACCCAAACCGAAACAGGGGGGAACACCTGGACCCTAAGGTCTAATCCAAAAGGCAGTGGAGAAACGTCAGGAGATATGGTCCCATTTTAACCGGTGACTAACAATTGGTTCATACGCCATTTGTTCCTTCAGGATGCTAGAGCCCATGTTGACCATTGGTTTGAAACCAGTGTTTTTCAACTCATCTAGGTGGATCCACCATATCTACCAAACCTGTTAAAGCTCCGGACATTCGGTTTTCGTCCTCTTAATTCTGTAAACAAAACCGCAGGCGATAGAAGGCAATGATTGGTTAAGCTTTTTTGTTAACTTACTTAACAGACATTATCATTTGGATAGTGACAATTTCCATGTATCTTTGCACTGTTATGTTCACTAGAGTACGTGACAGACTCTAGCCAAAACACTGATTGTTTAAATATCATCCGATGATTCATCCTCCTGCCCATATATGTATGCACTCAAATCTTATTATTAGATTTTGTTTTGTCTTGCTGCCACCAATGGTCTTGTGAGTCTATTTAAAAATACTACCAGTACAAACCACCAAAACCTATTAGCACAAATTCAGAGAAGACAGCTAAACCGGTGTTAGAGAAACGGCTACAGCGTTGGCTTACCCGCCATCTCCAATGTGCGTTAATTTCGCTTTGCTCATTGATAATTACTCATGTACTCATAGCTTTGTGGTCTGCGTTTTTTTTTTCGATAATAAACTGTAGTTGCAGCTTCTCTTTGCCTTCTGATTTCCTGCACCGTTAAGATTTGGATAATAACGGTTATCGAGGTGAATGATTAGCGAACTGTTTAATTGTTCAATACAAGAAGCATATCTTATAGCAAACATCAACTTAGTATCTTTAATCTAATGGGTTTCTGTCATAACTGAAAAAATACCATTCTGTTGGATAGGTATTTTATACTGATGAGTTGTAAATAGGACGAACTTCACCTGTAGCTCCTCTGGTGGATATTGCCAGTCCCAAGCCCACACAAAGGAGGAGGGTTGGGCATGGGGTTAGCGATCCCAACTGTTTAAAAAACGCTAACCAGAAAAAAATTATTCAAACCATTTAGACTCTGTCCTGGCACTTGAAGGAATAATTATGACGTTTCATGATGAAAGCCTAGTTCCTTTAGAAGTCATGAGGACGATGCACCTTCTAACAACCAGAGCAACAATTTTTATAAGTACATGAAGCGTCATGAAACAATGTGGGAGACCGGAAGTGTCTTCCACATTTCTTCAGAAATGAGGAACTACAAACTGGAGGTGCTTGGAATCAGTAAAACACATTGGACGCATGTTGGACAACAACGATTATCTTCAGGGGAGCTTCTGTTATACTCCGGCCCCACATACACAAGGATTGGCATTGATGCTGTCCAGAAAGGCACAAAATGCACTTATAGGATGGTAATCTCATGTAAATATGACAAAGTATTTGTTCTATACTCTACTGATAGTGACTAGTAAAAAGACGACTATTATATTACATATTCATGTTTCTTATTAATCTGAAAACTTTCAGATAGCAATCAATGGATTCATATAAGTTAAATTGTTACATATTTTTCTCTATATAAAAGGTTAGTTGATCTTTTCCCCCCTTATTCTCAAATATGAAAAAGTATTTTCGCCCTCCCTCCCTCTCTCTCTCTCTCTCTCTCCCTTATCAACAAATGTTATCTGGTTAACAACATCAAAAGTAGACAATTTCAATTTTCTGTACTGATATTGTTCATCTGTAATGTATTAAATAAAATATTGATACAAGTAAACATTATTTAAGGACATTGAACTGAAGATACATTTTATTTGAATGTTTAAATTAACATAAAGAACTCTTTCTTTTTTTCTGGGGGGGGGGTAAAACTAATGGGAAATATCGTGGATGTGCACTACTGAGGAGTCTCATACTAGAACAAAACGACCATACAGGTTTTCTATGGTGGTCTAGCTTCAATTAACTCATGAATTCAAGTATCAAATCGGAAATATGTATCAATTCACTAGGTATTGTTTACTTGTATCTTCCCATTGTTATTTAGGACTGCAATTGATCAATCTCTTGTTGACACATATGCATCCTATGCGGACTGCCTTAATATTGCTTGAAGTCACAAGCTTTATAAGCAAAGATGTATAGTGGCTAGTAGTGGAATCTAGGAAGCGCGTTTCGTCCTATTTTGGACTTGTCAGCCGGATTTACTAGCACCTCAGAGTTGATGTTCACTCTGGGGCTCGAACCCAGTATCGTTCGCTTTAAACGCCATCTGGTTATCCACTTAGCTACTGAGTACTGATAGTTACCTCTTCTGTATAACACGGGTAGTTTAAATGATTTACATCATTGAGTTTCTTCTATTGTATTTTCTTTTCTTTCTTTTTCAGATTCATTAATAAAAGACTAGTTCATTAGCTCCACTTCACTAATACTACTGGATTACATCCTTATATAATAATTATTACATAATATCATCAAATAGTTGAATAAACCATGAAATTATGTAATTAAAACTCTATTGACAAGGTATAAATCAAAACTTCATTCAAGCGATTACATACAAATGCACACACACACACACACCTACAAATAAATCAATATATTCTAGAACAAATTGATATCATCCATGAACGTAATCATTACAAACTACCTACCTACCTACCCAACTAACTAACCAACTAACTAACTACCTAATAACCTACCTACCCACCTAACTAACTAACTAACTAAACACCTACCTACCTACTTACCCAACTAACTAACTAACTAACCAACTAAATAACTACCTAACTAACTAACTGACTTACCTACTAACTTACTTACTTACTTACGCCTGTTACTCCCAATGGAGGATTGGGCGGCCGACGATCATTCGTAGTTAATAACAAACAAATCATGAATATTTATTATTGTCTTTTTTCTATTTCATAATTATTAAATGAATAAAGAATTAACTCGTAAACGTTCTAGATATCATAGTCATAAAATTGACAAATTTTTATTACAAGAATATGAACATCGTAAAAAAGAAATTCAATTATTATTAATTGGTAAGTTAGTACTACTTAATTAAAGTAGTATAAGTAGTATATATATATGTACTATATTTTTATTGATTATTTATGATAAATTTGAATGATGTATATCATTTTTGTTGTATTCATAAAGAAGGGGTTTTGTGGAGATTTAGTATTTTCATAGTTGAAAGCGTGAGTCAATTGAAGCTAGATCACCAGAGAAAACCTGGAAGCATTGGACGGTCGTTTCGTCCTATTGTGGGACTCTTCACCAGTGCGCATCCAAGATCCCACACTCGCGAGAGTTGAACACAGTTGATTAAGCCGGTTGGATGCCAACCGGCTAAGTGGTCTATCGGTTAACGGCTCTGGTGCGAGACTGATAAGTCCTAAGTTCGAATCTCGCAAGACGGGATCGTGGATGCGCACTGCCACTGAGGAGTCCTGCAATAGGGCGAAACGGCCGTCAAGCAGTGCTTTCAGGTTTTCTCTGGTGGTCTATCTTCAATTGACTCATGCTTTTAACTATGAACATACTAAATCTCCACAAAACCCCTTCTGATAATTTTGATATTACTAATATATAAACAAATTTAATTAATTCAAGGTCAATTTAATTAAAAAAAGTATAAAAATCTTTTTTTTTTCAATAGTTTCTATGATGTTTTATTTTTATTTACCCAATTAGATAAAACTTTTTGTTTATCTAATGTGTATGTGTAAGTGTGTATATTCATGCGGTCAATGTTCACCTAACTGTTTGTTTAAGTGAACACGAATTTCGATTTTTGTTTTTCATAAAAAAATAAAGTGCGAACATCATTAGCAAAGATGGATAGTGGCGAGAAGTGGAATCCAAGAAGCGCGCTTTGTCCTATTTGGGACTCGTCATCTGGATGTACCTACATCTCAGAGTTGATGTTCACTCTGGGATTCGAGCTCAGTATTGTTCGCTTCAGACGCCATGTGGTTATCCAATCAGCTATTGAGTCCTGATAGCCACTTGCTTATGAAATGGGGATTCCTGGATTCCACCGCTAGCCAGTTTCTATCTTTGCTTACAATGCTTGTGAATTAAGGCTATATCGAGGCAATACGCCATAGTATGCACATATGGCTAATAAGTGACTGACCAGTCCTAAACATCAATGGGATGATTCAACCAAACAATACTAAGTGAATTTTTAGTACAGATAGTTAAAATGTGAATATATGACTGTATGTATGTATGTATGTATGTATGTGTGTGTATGTATTTGTTTCTACGTTATGAAAGACATAATTTAGGTGAGTTATTTCTGATTTGTTTACACCGGTTTCTTTTTTCTCTCTCTTTCTTGTTGTTGTTGTTGCGGTTCACATTTTATTTTGCTCTAATAGTTGGACATGAAGTATATCGAATTATAAGTAGTATATAACATTAATAATTATTATTATTAGTAGTAGTAGTAATAACGATTGTTCTTAATTTCGGATATACTTTTTATTCATTTCGTCACTTTTGATTAAAGTAACAAAAAAAAAAAGTTTGATTAATTTCGAAATAGTTTTCACCATAGAATGATTGTTAATGAACAAGTAGTTCATTCTAATTAATGTCTATTAAATATTGTGTATGATCAAATGTTTACAAATTTGAAACATACTAGTATCTATCTTAGTGATCATTTATAACCTTGAAGTACTGGACGGTCGTTTCGTCCTATTGTGGTACTACTCAGCAGTGCGCATCCACGATCCTGTCTCGCTAGATTCGAACCAAGAATATATCAGTCTCGCTTGCGAACGCTTAACCTCTAGACCACTGAGCTGGCCGGCATCCAACGGTGTTAATGTCTAACTTCAACCAATCCAAGATGTTTTTGAGTAACCGTTCTGATCTATAATCATATACTCACTAGTGACTGGCTTCAAGGGATGTTTCCTTGAATTCTAGTGTGAAGCAGTGACCAGTTGAGTTCAACCACGTATGTTGTATAGATATCAACACACTGAAGACAATTGGTGAACGGTTGCTCAAACTTCGTGGATTGGTTGAAGTTAGACATAAACACCGTTGGATGCCGGCCAGCTCAGTGGTCTAGAGGTCAAGCTCTCACTCGCGAGACTGATAGGTCCTGAGTTCGAATCTCACGAGTGCGGGATAGTGGATGCGCACTGTTGAGGAGTCCCACAATAGGATGAAAGGACCATTCAGTGCTTCCAGGTTTTCTATGGTGGTCTAGCTTCAATTGACTCATGATTTCAACTATGAAAATACTGAAATCTCCCAAAAATCCTTTCTGATTAGAATCGATTATTTTCTTGAACAATGTTATTGGCTAACAGAAACAACAGGGATAGTTAAATAAATTCTTAGAGATTGAATGCTTTCAAATGTCTGATCATTGAATAATGATCAGTATCATGTTTATTTATACATTCATCACTAAAAGTTGATCAGCAATGAAAGAGTAGATATTATTCAATCAATCGGTTAAAACCATATCTTAATTGTAAGCAAAGATGGATAGTTGCTAGCAGTGGAATCCAAGACGTGAGTTTCGTCCTATTTGGGACTCGTCAGCTGGATGTACCGGCATCTCAGAGTTGATATTCACTCTGTGACTCGAACCCAGTACCATTCCCTTTAAACGCCATCAAACAAACATATCTTAATTGTTATCATCAATGTAGTAATGGTGTACAGTGAAATTTGACTTGTGTTAGTGAGCAACCTTATAGAAGCAATGAAAAATCTGGAGTGATATAGTCTATTATATCCTGAGGAGAATTATGAATGGTAACTTTTGAGGACTATTTATGGACCAATATGATACATATATATTTCCTATAGTGTAGTTGTTAAGTAACTTAACTATTCATACTAATGTCTCTTTCATTGTGAGCTTTATTTTGACCTATGGACTATTACTGTACGATTTATCATTCCTGAGTTATCCCCAGTCTATTAATTACTGCTCCCCTATTTACAACCACATTTAGCCAAATCTTGTACAAATGTCATTTTCTATTTTATGATACGATGTGGTCTGTCTGTTTGGTATATAAACCTAGTATGTTTGAGAATAATGATTCATATTGTAGAGACTGTTGTTGGTGTTCTGGAGTTAACTGGCTGGGCTAGGCAGAAAGCAGGACCAACAAGTGCTCTAGACTACTCACACGGTTTTTGTATATCACCAAGCCGATCAATAAACTCACTCACTGCATATAAATTCAGAGTGTATGATTCTTTCTAGTTATCATGTTATCACTTTTTGTTCAATGACTGCTGTTTATCAACTCTTTTGAATAGTTCGATGAGTTCGGTCGATATTATAATAGCCACTGATTGACTGGACTAAGTTTTGAGATACCATAGTATTGACTCTCTTTTTTCTCACCTTCTAAATCTGTAGTCACAAGTTTATTTCATCAAATGACAGACGAAGAAGCAAATCAACTTCTAACATATTATATCAAATTAACACGTTTAGAACTATGGTGTATAGAATGTCTAAGTCTGAGAGAGTTCCAAATATGTACATTCATGCATTCGAATTTAGGTAGTAGAACAACAATATTAAGTAGTTTGATGGACACATTTAATATTGGTGTAAATTAGACCAGGTAGGTGTATCTTATAACGTTACAAAGTCATGGTTAGATACAAATACATTGAAATCAATAAGGAATCCATTTTAAATCTTTAAATACTAATTCCTGATGATGGTGATGGATCAACCAAAAAAACGAAGAAAAAAACGCTCTTCATAGTAAGGAGAGTTGGATAGTGGCTAGCAGTGGAATCCAGTTTGATGCGCGTTTCTTCCTATTTGAGACTCGTCAGCTGGATGTACCTGCATCTCAGAGTTGAAACGCGCGTCCTGGATTCCACTGCTAGCCACTATCCATCTCTGCTTACCATGCTTGTGAATTAAGGCTATATTAAGGCAATACGCACAGTATGTACATATGCCAATTAGAGACTGACCAGTTGCAGTCCTAACACATCGATGGGAAGATTCAAACAAACAAAACTAAGATGCCCTTCATAGTTATCACTGTTTTCGTTACAGTTGAAAATGTTTTGGTATATTCTAGTTTCAAACATTTCTTACTTTATTACTACCGGTTGTGGAGATTATTAAGTTAAGATTGATATCATGAATGTATCGATATTAGACCAACAATGAAAAACTGTAGGCAATGGACAGCTGTTTCGTCCTAGCATGGGACTCTTCAGCAGTGCGCATCCATGATCCTGCAGGTAGGACTCGAACACAGGACCTTCAGTCTCACATGTGAACGCTCAATCTCTAGACCATTGAGCCAACATCCAACAATGTTAATATCTAACTTCTTTCATTGTATTTTCAATGAAAACTATTTATTTTTTTGGTTATCTCTAGGTCTACCGAATTCTGGTAAAAATACATTTTGTAAACAAATGCGTTTACATTTTGGTGATGGTTTCCCTATATCATATCGTAATGAAATGAAATCAACAATATTAGCTAATACCACTGATGCTATTGCTATGGTTTTAGAATATATGAAAGATGCTAATATAACTTTTTCAGATATATTGGCACATGTAAGTGAATCAATATTTTGTTCATATGAATGTGTATATGAGGGTGTGTATTTACTTTCAGATAACTCATGATTGTCTTTTTCTTGGGGGGAGTGAAGGGAAGACAATCATTACTATAGAGGTCAGTCAATAAGGTTTAGGAGAGCGAGTTTTGTTTGCTTTCTTCGAGTGAAATACAAAGATTATTATTATTATTTGTTTAAACACATAAATATTGGCACAAGGAGGCACCAGATTTGTGTGAAGGCTATGACACTGCCCGAGTGCCCAAACTGAAGCAGGTGGTATTCTTAGGAGGCTATACTCCGAGCCTTTAACCTAAAGGTCCGACCCACAAGGCAGTGAGGCATCGTGAGGAGATGCAGTTCCATGATAACCGGTGACCAACGACATTTGTTCCTTCAGGGTACTGGAGCCCATGTGCATCATTGATTTGGAATTAGGGTTTTCCAATCCCCCAGGTGGACTCACCGTGTCCACCAACCCGGTTAAAGAGCCAGACATTTACTTTTCGTCCTCTCAATTTCGTAAACGACAGTGAGTAGGGACTTCCCTGGCAGAGACTATGTAGGCGTGGCCATATGAGTGCATTTTGAGAGAGAAGGCGAGTCCTCCTCACTCTCGGCCGTACCAGGGCATTTAGGGGCAAAGATTTTTACCAGCTAGTATCCATGTTAAACAACTGGTAAAGATTGCCCAGGACAGAGTTGGATAGAGGATGGTGGTGGGTGGCCCATGCTTCTTCACGAGGGGTAACGGGCGTAATAAGTAAGTAAGTATCCATGTTATGAAGAGGTTTGCAGAAGATATTCTTACTTAGTTCTTATATAGCTAGGAATGTATAATTAAGAGTCTATTGTCTCATCCTACGGTCAAAACTGTTGTGAAACCTATGAGAAATTGTTTATAAGAGAATTATGAACTGATAAGTAATTGGAACATCAAATATGCAATCTCGGATAATTAAGTCTTCGTAATGAAGATAGTTTATATTCAGATGGAGGAAATCAGCTCTAAATATTGGAAAAACTCATAAACTGTGCGGAACTACCATGTACATGGTAGTTTTTGTAGTAACAAATTCCTGATTTTGACAGTCTGTTTCCTCACTAGTTAGTAAAAGTCATAATCGTTTCTATTCCGTTTCCGGTGTCGCTTGTGGTCGTTATTAAAATAACAGCTCATCATAACCACTGTTTTTCATTTCGTATCACAGATGAAAGACACCGATGTCGTTAAGAAAGACGATGAAAGTTCCACGACCAAACCATCCAACTCAGAGAACAAACTTACATCAAAATCACCCACCTGAGCTACAAATCTTCTCCACCATCTCAAGTACATAATTCCTCTATCTTTCTATAAGGAAATAAAGTTTACCATGTTGATTGGTAGTCATAGTTTGGAACTAACTATGTTGATAGTGACAATGAATCGGACCATAATGACTTAACTTTTGCAATGGAATGGAATTTATAATAAATATTTAATCTTTTTCAACTGTTTGTTTTGAAATTTATTTGTTAAACACTTTATGATTGTATTGTTTATTAGGTAAGAATAATCGATATAGTTGGTAAACTATTGGGGACTTACTAACTTACTTACTTACTCTTGTTATCTCTCATGGAGGAGCATAGGCCGCCTACTAATATTCTTCATCAAACTCTATCCTGCACAATCCTTTGCAGTTCTTTCCAGTTGCTTTTCATTCTTTCGATGTCCATTTCTATTTCCCGGTGTAATGTGTTCTTTGGCCTTCCTCTTTTCTAATTCCCTTCAGCATTCCAAGTTAGTCCTTGTTTCGTGATGCAGTTTAATGATTTCTGTAATATGTGTCCTATCCACTTTCAACATCTTTCCTTAATTTCTTATTCCAATGGAAACTGATTTTTTGTCTCTCACAGTAGGCTGTTGCTCATGGTATCCGGCCAAAGGACATTGAGTATCTTGTGTAGACAATTATTTATTAATACTTGTACCTTATTGATAATGGTTGTGGTAGTTCTACGCACTTAAGCTCAGTACAGTAGAATTGTCTCGAAGTTCGTATTGAAGATTGTGACTTTGATATTGGTTGACAGTTGTTTTGAGTTCCATATATTCCTGAACTGTAAGAATACTACCCTTACTCTGCCAATCCTTGTCTTTATGTCTTCATCAGACCCTCCTTGTTCATAGATGATACTGCCCAGATATGTGAAGGATTTCACATTTACCAGACGTTCTCCATCAAGTGTGACTGGGTTAATGATCTCCATGTTCTGTTTGAGTATGTTGTGTATATTGAGGCCTACTATTGTGGAGGGTAGAAGTAAGAATAAAATTCAGGCTAATGTAGCAAATTGTTGACGTTTATTTTCTATGAGACAGAACAACAAATGATCGCAAACAATCGTTGAGGAGTGAACCTATCTCATTGGTATTTGTTATTACTGTGAAATTTATATCTTTTTAGGAATACGTTTGAAGAAAATTTTTTACTGTTGACTGAATTCAATAAGATACCTTTTAAAGATCAGGTAGCGTTACACAGCTAACTTTGGTCAGTTAGCAATATAGGATGACTATGTTACAAAATCCGAGGATGATATTTATCTTATTTCTGATTAAGTTTGTAGTATCGGTTGATATGTTAGGCTCATATACCCTTATTCTAGCTTATGGACAAGTCAATTCACCCATCCATCATGAGTTATGTTTTCACCTTGTTAATCATTCACCTATTAACCCTATTTTTTATATGAGCGTAGGTGTGTGTACCCTTCTTGTCCTACTTATCACATGTCTGTCATATATTCTTGTCTGACTATAAATATTGATTGACGCTTGATTAAAGCGAGTTGACATACCCGCTATCTCCAATGCACATTATGTTCGCTTCACTTTGTCGATTTGGCTTACCCGCCATCTCCAATACGCATAATTTTTGTTTCACTCTGTGATATTTACTCATATGCTTATAACTTTCTGGCCTATGTCATTTGTCAATAAAACTGTAGCTGCCGCTTCTCTTTGCCTTCTGATTTTATACACCATTAAGATTTGTATGATAACAGTTATCGAGGTGAACGATTAACGAAGCACAGCACTACAAATTGATCTCTAATAGTTACCATTGAAGTTCATTTAGAATGTAAGTATACTCTTTTTAATTTGAATAACTTTAACTTCTTTTAATACTTTTGTCAGAGACTTCAAGAATATTTAGTGAATAGTCGATCAGAAAATGGATGGATAACCAAAGATTTCATCATATTCGATGACAAATACACAGCTACTACTACTAATAATAATAATAACATGGATTATCATAATCTCCAACGTCAAGAATCATCATTTAAAACCAATCTGAATCATGTCACCGATCATTTAACTTCCCCCTATGATTATGATCATCATTCTATAACAACTAGTTCCAGTTTACCAAGTATTACAATGTCAACATCATTAATTCCTTCATTTAATGAATCTATTCAATCAATTAGTCAACAATATTTAAGTAGTATAAACATACCTTCAAATAAAATTCATCATTTAACTACAGAAACTAATGACTCTTGTATACATTCTTTATTACATACTACTACTACTACTACTACTACTACTACTAACAGTAGTAGCATGATGCCTATCAATACTACTATCACTACTACTAGTAGTAGTATGATGCCCATCAATACTACTAACACTACTACTACTACTACTACTAGTATTGGTAATACCGATAGTATAACTGATTCTATTGTTGACAAATTCCTATCTTATGTACACGAAAATAATTCTATTCCACCATCAGTATTTAAAAAATTCGAATCAATTATCGGTATTAAATCTATGGAGAATTGGCGGGATATTATTGAAAATAAAACCCTATTACATCATCTAATTCATGTATTACTACAAAGTGGTATTGATAATTGGTCATCATTTTTAATGTATCAATCTGGGCCGGCACCACCACCAGCTCCAACAACATTACCTCCATTATCAGTTGAAGATGAATTATTAAATTATATTGTTATGAGTGATAGTCATGATACTTCAGAAGATGGTGACGACGATAATGATCATGAGAGAGATGCTACTGAAAGTGGATTAGTCAATTCTTCAAATTCTTCTTTAGTAAGAACTTTAGTTAAAAGTACTTCTTATACTGGAGATATTGACGTATTTATCAACTATGACGAAGATGATGATGATGATGATGACGATGGTGATGATGATGATGATGAAGAAACAAGAAATAATGTGAACGAGGATTTTAATAATTTAGTTGGGATTAAAACAGAAGATGGTCTCGTTTATAAATCAATTAGAAAATTATCAATCAATACAAGACGTAGAAATAAAAGTGAGTATCATTACTTACTTACTTACTTAAGCCTGTTACTCCCAATGGAGCATAGGCCGCTGACCAGCATTCTCCAACCCACTCGGTCCTAGAGCTTCTATTCTAGATCAAACCAACTTTTGTTCATTCTTTTCATGTGTCTCCATTTTTCGGTGTAATGTGTTCTTTGGTCTTCCTCTTTTCCTTTGATCTTCAGGATTCCATGTGGGGGCTTGTCTTGTGACGCAATTGAGTGATTTCCTCAATAAGTGTCCTATCCACTTCCAGCGCTTCTTCTTGATTTCTTCCGCCGCTGAAATCTGGTTTGTTGACTCCCACGGTAACTTGTTGTTGGTAGTGTCTGGACATCGGATCCGAAGTATCTTGCGTAGACAACTGTTATTAGTTATTCAATAATTTGACTGTCGTTATAACTGCTTTTACTAATAAACGACCCATCTACTCTTATTGCTTAGTATTCTTATACAATGACACTCGACAAGACACCCCAAAATCAGAATACGTTGAACAGGACCGAGATTGCATTCAACATAACAATGGTAGATGAACAGCAATCAATGGTTAAAAAAATGTTCATATATTTATAGTATATACAAAAGAAGCTTCTAGATTTTTCTCCAATAATCTACCAGAGCTGATTGGTTTAGAATTAGCCAATCAGCGCGCGCCGTGACGATCATTCACATAACGTGCCTTAATCTGGTTTATTTCCCGCTAACAACTGTAATTCTCCACAAACCTCAGTCATCTCCAACAGAATGTATCACTGATTGAGTTATTTTTAAATGAAATGAAACTAAAGATAGACTTGACACACATGACATTGATCACCATCCGGTGATCAATCAATTGTGATTACATCTCAGTCCTACAGGAGGTCGGTCACGGCCCGAATAGCTCAGTGGTAACGTCTCTGACTGTGAAGCTGAGTGAGACGAGATCGAATCCGTTAGGGAGCACCAGTTCTCACAAGATTACAGGCACACCTTGCTGATGAGTGTCAAGTAGCACGAAACTCGGTTCCAGGGTTTCCTGTTGACCACCTCCACCATCTTATCTCAACATAGTGCACACAGTGTCGAGTCACCTAGACTAGTGGCCACATTGCAACTTGATCGATAGGATTCGATCAGCATTAAGGCGGACTTGACACGCATGATATTGATCACCACCCAGTGATCCATCAATTGTGAAATGAAACTAATCATATAAAACATTAAGGAGAAAGAAAATGTTTGTAAAATTTTTATGATTGAATCTAACGTTTCGTTCGATAATGTGGTACAAACCTTTACAAAGATATGATAATAAAATATCAAAATTATCGAATATAAATAGGTACATGGTTCTTCAGTTAACTGCACCCTGAATAGATCATTCAATCATGCTGACAATATTTGAATTAAGTATTAATTGTAGTGTGTATGAGATATGTGTAACTTGTGTAACGAAAAGTGTGTTGAGATAACAGTTTGTGTGTATTGTACGTAAGTGGATCAGAGGTATGAGAAGAAGTTTCATTTTGATTGGTGTTAGGTCACTATTGAAAACCTGGAAGCACTGGAAAACCATTTCGTTCTAGTATGAATCTCCTCAGCAGTGCGCATCAACGACTTCACAAGTGGGACTCGAACCCAGCACCTTCAGTCTCGTCCACGAACGCTCAACTTCTAGACCACTGAGCCGACGTTCAACAGTGGTAATGTTTTACTTCAATCAATCCACAGAACTGCGCGACCATCCTCTAGTGTACTGATGTAGATACCTGTCTCTACCTAACATAAATTAGCTCCACTGGTCACGTCTTCCCACTACAATCCCTAGAATTCCTTCACGAATCTAGTCACTAGTGAGCGCATGGTAATTATCAGTATGGGAGGTCCCATACTAGAACGAAACGACCCTCCAGTGCTTCCAGGTTCTTAATAGTGGTCAAATATCAATCCATCCATGATCTCAATCAAAAGCTCAACAATCTCCACAACCTCATACTGAAAAATTTCATCGACTATTTATCGCCTCTAATCGATGAAATTTTAGACAAAAGCATACAAATTTTATAAATGATATGGATCGAGCTTTTCACAGCATGTCCGACCATCATTATATACTATTTATGTGGATATAAGTAGCTTACACCACACAATCAGTCCACCATCATACATCTAAACAGAAAGCAAGAACAACTAGATTTTCAGGATAAAATGAATCTATTTGACGGTTTCTCATAAGCTGCATACAACCTTAACTTACAATTATTAATATAAATATAACTATTAACAAATATTTAACATACTGTGATTTGTGAAGTTCAGATCAATGTTCGAAACGTAAGCCAATTTATAATAAACAAAAGAATAGGGATATAAGGCATATGAATAAACATAGTCAAAATTGATGTGTATTTATATGTACGGAAGTAATAATTCAGAGGTTTTGTAGGAGTAATGAAATTAATAAGTGATTAGGTAATCGTTCAAGATGATAAAATAAACAAATATATGGTCCATAGGTTAAGCATTCGCGCTCGAGGCCGAAAGTGATGGCATGGTGTGTGTTGCTCATGCCGACAGATATAATTAGTAAATATCATTAATCGAAAATTAAATACCTGACAGCAGAAGGTTAAGAAGATCGAAGAAAAAAAACAAAACAACAGAGAATGATTAGTGTGGAAACGTAAGAAAAATGAAGTCTGAGACATTAAGTTCAAACGCTTAGATTAGGAATGATAGATGTACATTTCTTGGGACGTCATATACTAGGATGAAACAACTATCTAATACTTCTATGTTTTTAATAGTAGTCTAGTTTAAAATGATTCGAAAAAAGAAAAAGAAAAAAATAATTCGTCCATAGTAAGCAAAGTTGAATAGTGGCTAACAGTGGAATGTAGGATGCGTGTTTCATCCTATTTCAGACTTGTCAGCTAGATGTACCTGCATCTCAGAGTGGATGTTCACTCTAGGACTCGAACCCAGTTCAATTCTCTTAAAACGCCATCACGTTATCCACTCAGCTACTGAGTCTTGATAACCATTTGCTTATGCAATGGGGTTTAATTCGTCCATAGCTTTCTTTTAATCTATATGAATATAGATTGTTCAATTAGTTGATATCTCACAACAGACGTGGTTTCAACTCCACTGGTCACTGCTTCTCACTAGAACTCAATGAAATATCTCTTCAAGTCAGTCACTAGTAAGCATATGACTATAATCAGTAGGGTTTTTTGTTTGAGATTTCAGTATTTTCATAATTGAAAGCGTGAGTCAATTAAAGCTAGAACACCAAGGAAATCCTGGAAGCATTAGAAGCTAAATGATCTATCAGTTCAATCCTCTGGCGTGAGACTGATAGGTCCTATGTTTGAATTTCGCGAGGCAAATTCTTGGATACTCATTACTGAGGAGTATTACAATAAGACGAGTTGTCCATCCAGTACTTCTATTGTATTCCTTGATGGTCCAGCTTCAATTGACTCATGATTTCAACTATGAAAATATTGAAATCTTTACAAAACCCTCTTTGAATAGATTGAATTATTGATTTTTTTTCTTTTCTTTTCTTTTCTTTTTTTCTTTTCTTTTTTTAGGTTTAGATAATAAATTAGCTTCATTCAATTCTTATATAAACCATAATTATATAGAATTAAATAGTCATTTTAATTTATTAAAATTATCAATGGATCAATTAAATGATCTTAATTATTTAAAAAAACATAAAATTTCATTAAATTCATTACAAATTATAATGAAAATTATAACAGATCAAATTGAATTTCGTAATATATTTATTAAATTATATTCAATATTAGAAGAAAAATCATATTCTGGTTTATAGTAAGTAAATAAGTATTTTTGTTGCCTTGGTTACTATTTTTTCTGTTTTTGAGAGAGAGAGGGAGAGTTAGTTACTATAGGGTAGGGTTGTTAATTGCATACTGAACCTTTCTCTTTTATTCAGGGTTGGGATACCGGATGTAGCTCCCTGGAAGGGATACAGGCGTAGTTTTAAAATTATATATATATATATATATATATATATATATATATATATATATATATGTCAACTACACTTGATGCATCTCGTCGATTGAACGCTTTATTCGTTTCCTAAGTTATTCTGGTAACCCACAGGCTAGAACTGATCAGCGATTTGAACACCAGAGAGAAGACGCAAGTATAAGGAAAATACTTTACTCCAAGGCTCGTTCTTGTACATAAAATCATGGGTATTTATAGATGTTAGCGTCTGTGAAATCAACATCATATTTCTTCCAATCCGTTAACGACATTTTATGCTTACGACCAATAGTATCACGCCCTGTTGAAATTCTAGAATGTTCCATCATACTCTGATTAGCTAGGGCTCTTCAGTTCTTTTTTGGGCTTCTGGAGGCTCCGTTGAAGTTTTCCGGAAGCCGACTCATCAATAGAAAAAAAATTTAATTCTGAAAAAACGAACCAAAACTCATCAGATTTCTTTTTAATAATGGAGAATGTTGTTGGACCGCCTATGCTCTTCCACGAGGGGTGGTAGTAGTAGTGTGGTGTGGTCTACTTATATCCATATAAGTAGTATATGGTGTGGGTCAGACATAGAATGTATTTTGGCAGAAGACCGATGAGGAGAGAATGGAAATGAAGCGCAATCGTATGGAAAATGCATGAGCAATGGAATAAGAGAAGAAACAGTGAAGATTGAAACAATTGGTTGTTAATTTGCAAATTGACTGTTCATTGTTTGGTAATCAGAATTTATTGAGATAGTCTGTAATTTTTGCTTAAATACATTCGATTGTCCCCAACCAGTGTTCTGTTCACAACAGTAGCACTCCAGGATAAGTCATAGATGAGGTGGCAGTTCAAATATCAGACATCAAAACTAAACTGTTTGTTTGAATCAGAAACAATAAAGAGGCTTATCGTTCTACATCGGGAGGTCGCACTGTAAAGTTTTAGGGAATGACAAAAAAGCTATTCATTAAAGCAATAGCTCCCCGGAAGGGCTACAGGAGGAATTATAAAATTATATATATCTATATTTAAAGAAATTAGTCCCTAATGATAAATTTTTGTAGTTTAATAAGACGAAGATTATCAGAACTATGTGATGATATATTAGCAAAATACATTTCGAAGAATCTGTGTCATATCCCACTGCGTTTACGAATTTAAATGTGCGTGTATGTGCACACATATACATAATGGGGAGCAATTATGATCTGAAAATTAGGGTGCGTGTGTGAACATGTACCAAAATGGTTCCAGAAACAAATTAAATCAAATGGAAAGGTTTTTTGTGGAGTGACTGATTTCGAGAAGTAAATCCTGGAATTCTAGTGAATAACAGTGACCAATGGAGTTCAACCAGGTCTGTTGTGAGATAGGAAGTCACTGAAGACGATTGGTGAACGGTTGGTCAACTTTATGGATTGGTTGAAATTAGACATTAAAGCGCGAGACTGGTAGGTCCTGATTTCGAATCTAGCGAGATATGATCGTGGATGCGCACTTTTGAGGAGTCCCTTACTAGGACGAAATAGCTGACACTGCTTCCAAGTTTACATGGTAGTCTAGCTTCAATTGATTCATGATTTCAACTATTAAAATAATGATCTGAACAAGTATAACTTTTAGATTAGATATTTCATCATCATCATCAATTTTCTTTTTTTTTTACATGTGAATTGTTTACAAATGTATCATGTGTTCAACTAAATCATAGTTTCCATGGTAAATGTTTTTTTTCTTTGATTTTTGTAATTTTTCAATGACATAACTAAACATTTTCTTCAAAAAAAAAAAAGGATTTCTAATCATAATAAAATATTCAAAAGATTACGTAAGATGGAAAAGAAATCTAGACAATTTAAATATTCCATCTTCCCCCCTTTTCTTTTTTTCTTTTTTCTTTTTTTCTTATTTTGTTTAAATTCAGTTGTTTTTTTGTGTGTTATGTTGTGATTAGCGGGGAATACAAAATGATTTAACTTTTAATTAACTTTATAGTGATAAATTATATTTGTATCTTTTTAGTTTCTACGGTTTTTGTTCTTTTCTTTTCTTTTTTTTTTCTTTTCTCGTTTTTTTTTGTTGGTTAAAAAAGTAATGACAAGTAGTATCGAATTTTCAAGGTTATATATAGATATATGTATATCAATACCTTTTCCCAAGGATACTAATCCATTATTTTTGTATTTAAAACAACTGTCCAAAAGTTATTTATTGATCATTTAGTATTATATTCATTTAATATAATGAAAGATGGTTTATGTGGGTTACAAAAAATATGGGATATTTTATTGATTTTGATTATGGTTTATTCTATGATCTGGATGGTTTCATCGTCTTTCTGAACAGTATCATCAGTATAGAATAATTGAAGATATACATCGAATTGTAAAGATGAATTGATTTGATTGTTTTAATATTTAATGGGTTTATGTGTTATAATAAGTAACATAAACTATCAATGGTCTAGTGGATGCCTAGTTAATATGTGACGTGATAATACTCGCCAATCAGAGAGCAGAGAATTATCGACTGGAACAGTGACATACGAAAACTGTACGAGCAGTTTAGAGTACTTGTCGGTTCTGCCTTCTGCCTAGCCCAGTCAGCTAAGTCCAGGACATCAATAACAGCCTCTGCAATATGAATCATTATTCTCAAACATACTGAGTTTATATATCAATCAAACAGACCATATCATACCATAAAATGGGAAACAACATTTGTACAAGATTTAGTCAAATGTAGCTGTGATTAGAGGGAACAGTGATTAATAGACTGGGGATAAATCAAGAATGGTAAATCGTATAATAATAGTTTATGGGTCTAAATAAAGCTTAGAATAAGGGGAACATGTATATGAATAGTTTAGTTATTTTGCAATTATATGATAATAAATATATGCATAATACTGGCCCATAAATTGATCCCAAAGTTAACATTCATTATTCATATCCGCATATAACAATTTACATTTCAATAAAAAATGTTTGTAAATCAAAGGAATAATTGAATGTTACTATGGATGATGTAATGAAATAAATACTTTGTATAAACTAAATAATACATGATATCAGAAGGGAGTCTTGTGAAGATTGTAGTAATTTATTGGTTGGATTCATTAGTCAATTACAGCTAGACGACTGTGGAAAAACTGAACGGTCGTTTCGTTCTAGTATGGGATTCTTTAGCAGTACGCATCTATGTTCCTGCTCGCTGGATACGAACCCAGGACCTTCAGTCTCATACACGAACGGTTAATCTCTAGACCACTAAGCCATCATCTGTAGGGTGTTAATGTCTAATTTCAATCAATCCACGAAATTACGTCACCGTTCAACTATTAATTTATTACTGTCTCTACAAAACCCCTTCCTGATAATAATCATCGTGTGCTCACTAATGACTGGCTTCAAGAGGTATTTCCTGAAGTTCTATTGAGAAACAGTGACCAGTCGAGTTCAACAAGGTCTGTTGTGAGATAGCAACTAACTAAAGACAATAGTGAACAGTTGCTCAATTTCGTGGATTTTTTGAAGTTAGACATTAAAACCGTTGGATACTGGCCGGCTTAGTGGTCCCGAAGTTAAGAGTTCACGCTCAAGATCTAATGTCCTAGGTTCGAATCTTGATTGTGTCCATAATTTCGAAAGATAATCTTAGTGAGATTAAGTGACTGGAATTGATAAGATATCGCTAATATTCATCTGTTGATTATTTTGGCTTAATTTGAAAGCTACGAAGAGTACTCCTTTGAATTGAGTTTAAGCAAACGATTTCTCCTATCCCATGTGAATAAGTAACTTTATACATGTATGTTAATGAGGACAACAGTGGAAGTTTGTGCTTAACGCACCTGAGAGTGATATGCCTATTGAGGATGATGAAATGAAGCTCCACGGTAAAGAACGTTTTTGTCAAAGATTTTGAAATCCATTTTTAAAAGAACCTTCCGGAAATATCTTTCTTCAATTCCATATTTATGTAGTGAATAATTTTGGCACTTTAAAGGGTTTTTAGGGTTGTAAATTTGACTTTCAATGATAATCAATGAATCTGATAAACCATTTTTGATGATTATATATCAAAGTTTAAATATGTTATCAACAGTTTTGTCATTGATACACATTGGTCCAGTCACTGAGGATAGAAAGTAAATTACGTGTTTATGTTATAACTTGTGCCTCCTCAATGCCCTGTTAATGTATATAGTGGTAATACTGTCAATTAGAGAGCAGTGATTTGTCTATTGTAACAGTGACACACAGAAACCGTACGAGCAGTCTAGAGTGCGTATCGGTCCTGCTTTCTGTCTAGCCCTGCCAGTTAGAATTCACAATACCAATAACAACCTCTGAGGTATGAATCGTTAATTTCAAACGTACTGGGTTTATATACCAAACAGACAGACCACACTGTACCATAAAATAGGGAACAAGACTCGTACAAGATTCAGCCAAATGTGACTGTGAATATGGGAGATAGTAAATGATGGACAGGGTATAATTCAAGAATGGGAAGTCGTATAATAATCCTTCCTAGGTCAAAATGAAGCTCATAATAAGAGGGACGCGAATATGAATAGTTTAGTTGCTTAACAATTATACAATAGGAAATATATGAACGGTATTCGTTCACAAATGGATCTCAAAGTTACCATTCATTATTCCTATAGGGATAAAACAGTTTCCCCCCTTACTTCATGAAATCCATTTATGTAGACTATTCCAATTTGATATTTTCCTTAAAGTCACTTAATTGTTTCATTTTTCTTTTCATTTCCATTCTATCTTCTTTATTTCATTCATCTTCTTTTATATTCAATATGGGAATGTATAGTTTCATCAAATGTATAGATCGTATTATTCAAGATGATTATATACCTACATTACAAGATTTATTAATTATGAAACAATCATCAAAAGCTGTTAGAGAATCACTTATCTCTATTGGATCAATCACTTTAAGGTAAGTAAAACGTTTATTTATTTTTATTGATGAATGTTTATCAAGAGATATTTCATGGAGTTCTCAGGTCAGGTCAGCTACAACGTAGGACCAGGCACATATATGCATCGGTCCAAGTTGCCATACCTCGTTAGCACAACAAGATCAACACCGGATTCATAGTGGTAGTTAATTTAGTGGTGATAGTATATAAAAGATAGGTTGTATATAAGGATATAGTATAGAAAGGAAGAAAGTTATTAAGCAATTTAATCTTAAGGTTTAAGGGAAGATAAAGAGTGTATACACCTACGCCATTGTGACCGATTCTGAGCCATGTCACCTAGAGTCTCCAACCATTGGTTACGATAGTCACGCGGACCCCAACCAGGTAGTCTGCATCTGCCAACATGGCTCAGGCTAGAAGTTAGTGACTTCAAACACTGATGCCATGTTTTGGTTTGGCCGCCCCTAACTCTCTTCCAACCGTCCCCAATACTAGTCATCATAGCGCGTCGTGGTAATCGGTGTTCAGGCATACGTAACACATGGCCCAACCATCTCAGTCGATGAAGATTCATGGAGTTCTAGTGAGAAGTAGTAACCAGTAAAGTTCAACCGGGTCTGTTGTAAGATGGTAAGTCACTGAAAACAATGGTGAACGATTGCTCATTTTCGTAGATTGGTTGAAGTTAGACATTAAAACCGTCGAATGCCAGCCGGCTTAGTGGTCTAAGGGTTAGGCGCTCGCGTGCGAGACTGATAGGTTCTGAGTTTGAATCTCTTGAGGTGTGATCGTGGATGCTCACTGCTGAGGAATCCCACAATAGGACGAGTTAGCCGTCCAATATTCCCAGATTTTCCATGGTAGTCTAGCTTCAATTGACTAATGATCTTAACTATTGAAATTCATAATTTTTCTTTTTCATAATGAAATGATGTTAGCTGAAAAAAGAAAAAAAAACATTATAAGAGTCAACCTTAACGTATGGATTCTATTGTATTTTATTTCAAAAATGAATGACTACTAAGATAAGTAGAGTAAAAGTTACATTATGGTGTGGGCTACTTTTATTCATATAAGTACTATATAATGATGGTCAGGCATTGATGTAATTCAGTAGAAGATCAGTAAGGAAAGAACGGGAACGGAGCGCGATTGGTATGACAATGCATGAAGAGTAATTATCAGAAACGATGGACCGATATTTACAGAAGGAATTGTCAAGATTGAGACAATTGTTTGATAGTTTGCAAATTAACAGTTTACTGTATGGTCATCAGATTTTAGTGAGAGATTTTGTAATTTTGTGTTCTAATATATTCTCAGGAAGGGATTTTGTGGAGATTTTAGTAAACTTATATATTTGAGATCATGGGTCAATTGAAGCTAAGGCACCATGGAAAACCTGGAAGCATTGGACGGCCAACTCGTCCTATTGCGGGACTCCCTAGCAGTGAACATCCACGATCCCGTCTCCCAAGATTCAAACTCAGGACCCATTAGTCTAGCGCGCGAGCGCCTAACCTTTAGACCACTGAGCCGGCCGGCCGGCATCCAACGGTGTTATTGTCCAACTTCAACTGATCCACGAAATTGAGCAACCATTCACCATTGTCTTTAGGGAGTTGATATCTCTTAACAGACGTGGTTGAACTCCACTGGTTATTGCTTCTCACTAGAACCCCAGGAAATACCTCACGGAGTCAGTCACTAGGGAATATATGATGATTATCTGGAGGGGATTCTTGTTCATTACAACATGTTCATTTGATATAATGAATCAGGTGAAACAGATGTTATTTCATAACAGTCGAACAATTTCTTCTCTCACTTTTGATGATAAAGAAAGAGTGAAATATTTAGTGAGTAATATGTATTTAAAATCAGTCAGTTTTGAACAAGATATGATCTAGGGGAGGGGTAGATGTTTATCAGTGCTAATTGTTACATATTACAAAAAATAACAAAAGGATGTTAGGTGATAATCATGGAATTGTTATGCTTCGATAAGAATAGTGAATTGTAACTTTGGGATCCATTGATGAAACAATACTGCGAATTTATTTTTATCGTATAATTGTTAACTAACTAAACTATTCTGAGATGGTGGAGAAGATTTGTAGCTCAGGTGGGTGATTTTGATGTTGGTTTGTTCTCTGAGCTGGGTGGTTTGGTTGACCAAACCAAACTAAACTATTCATATTCATATCCCTCTTATTATGAGCTCTATTTTGACCTATAAACTATTGTTGTACGATTTACCATTCTTGATTTATGTCCTGTCCATCTTTTACTATCTCCCATATTCACAGTCACATTTTGGTTAAATCTTCTACAAATCTTGTTTCCTATTCTATGGTATGATTCGGTCTGTCTGTTTGGTATATAAACCCAGTCAGCTTGAAACAAACAATTCATACCTCAGGGGCTGAGATTAGTGTTCTCGACGTAACTGACTGGGCCAGGCAGAAGGCAGGAACGATATGGACTCTAGACTGCTCGTATGAGTTTCGTGTGTCATTGGTCCGATCGATAAACCACTGTCCTCTAATTGGCGTTATTATAACGTTATACATTAATAGGGAATCCAGGCGGCACAAGTTATAATAGGAATTTGAAATAATAATAGTCTCAATGAGTAAGAAAAAGAGAATTCAGCGAAGAAAATTTTCTTTTCGACGAAATCATTTACTTAAGCTGTACATTCGTATATATAGTGATATGGAAAATATATGTCTATATATGTCTATACAAGCATTATCCCTTGGTCCTAAATTTTGTAGTACGTCTACTAACATTAATGAATTGAACGCTAAAATCCAGTTTGAAAGTCTTATCCGTCAAACAAATGACCTTATTCCAGTATCTAATAAAGATTTTGAGCATTTCAAAACAACTCTTGTAGACTGTTATAATCAATATGTAAATAAAATCCCTACAGTTAGTCGCTTACTCACAAAAAACATAAACCTTAATTATCTGATCTTCGGAAAAATCATGACTTAGTGTTATGTCGCTCAGACAAGGGTGCAGGAATTGTACTTATGGATTGCCCTGACTATATTTCCAAAATATCTTCGATACTATCTGATCAAGTCAAATTCTCTAAAGAAACCATCCAAAATGACACAACTGAAAAAACCGAACAGATGCTAATTAAAATCCTAAAGAAGATGAAAGATGAGTTCATTATCAATTGTGACCTCTTTAAACATCTCAAATTATCGGGTTCTGTCGTACCTAGACTATATGGACTCCTTAAAGTTCATAAGAATAATGTCCCTTTACGTCCAATACTTGATATGAACAACTCTCCATATCACTCTATTGCTAAATGGTTAGTTAACATTTTACAACCTGTTAAAAATCATATCAACAAATACAATGCTCTTGATTCCTTTGAATTTGTCGACTCAATCAGAAATATCAACTTAATGGATAAGAAAATGCTCTCATTAGATGTCACGTCGTTGTTTACAAATGTTCCTCTCACAGAAACTATTTGTTTTTTATGTGACTTATATTGAAAATAATAATCTGGAGATATGTATCCCAAAACACTATCTTAAAGAACTACTCCTACGATGCACGCTCAATGTACAATTTAAATTTAATGATGGTTTCTATAGACAAACAGATGGAGTTGCAATGGGCTCTCCATTGGGTCCTCTTTTGGCTGATTGTTTCATGGCCAATCTAGAAAATTCAACACTTCGTCCAATAATCGATAAATTTCATTTATATAAGAGATATATGGATGATACTTTCATTATTTGTGATGATGACATGGACCACAATGAAATATTAAATATTTTCAATAACTGTCACCCTGCAATCCAATTTACCTTAGAGGCAGAATCGAACCACGAATTCCATTTTCTTGATGTCCGTTTGAAAAGATTGCCTGATAGTTATTTACAGATCTATGTATAGAAAACCCACTTGAAATGGACAATACACGAATTTCCATAGTTGGGTTCCACTGAGTCGAAAGAGGAACTTAATTCACTCTTTATCATCTAGGATTAAGCGAATCTGTTCTAGTGACACAATAAATGAAGAATTGCATCATCTTCGACAGACCCTAATCAAAAATCGTTGTCCACCAAGGTTCGTCGATAGCAACTTAACATGTAGACGTCAGCAGGAACTAACTTTGACAGTGCAGAAGAAAACCTTGTTTATGAATATAGAATTCAAGGGAGACACGGCTGCTGAAATCCTGAATAAACGGATTTCAAAAACGTTGAATAAAACTTTCTACACAGCCAAGCTCCGAATCGTTTTCTCTAGCCGGCCTACCATTTGGGGGTGTGTTAAGGATAAACTTTCTCTTTGGGCCACATCGATGTGTATTTATAAATTTACTTGCTCATGTGGAGCACGTTACATAGGCCTCACAAAGAGTTCGCTTTCCAAACGTATCTCTGAACACTATCCAGATTGGCTCCTAAAAGGTGAATATAAAAAGATAACCAGTTCGATACAAGAGCATTTGATCAATTGTGGACACATTGCTTCTAAAGACACGTCTTTTAAAATAATCTAAAGACTTAAAGGAACCGGATCAAAGGGAGGTCGAATTAATATTTTATGCACTGCTGAGGCATTGGCAATCCATGAATTCAAGCCTGAACTTTGCATGCAGAAACGATTTGTCCAACCTCTTACCCTTCCTTGGCCCTAATTCCCTCATTGGGTACGTATTTTGATTGTTTTTTTTGTTTTTTTTTCTTTACTTTTATCTGATTATTATCGGTTTGTTGTTTTTCAAAATTACTATTAAACTCCAATCAGTTATTATGACCTTTGTGTTTGTCGCTTTTCTTCACATCTGTCAATTGAACCATAGATTATTTCCTTCCTTATCCCTTGATTAGTACGTCACCTCATTTGTTATTTATTGTTGAATCTATTTATAATGCAATCTTTCCTAGCCCCCTATAGACATATATTTTCCATATCACTATATATACGAATGTACAGCTTAAGTAATTGATTTCGTCGAAAAGAAAAATTTTCTTCGCTGAATTCTCTTTTTCTTATTCAATAGACATTATGAGTTATTTTTTTTAAAATTTTATTTAAACACATAAATATTTTTACAAGGAAGCACCAGATAAATATGCGCCTCACAAATCTCATTCGATTTGTGTGAGGGCTGTGATACTACCCAGGTGCCCAGACTGAAGCAGGTGGTTTTCTTAGGGGACCACACCCGGAGACTTTGACCTGGATGTCTGATCCACAAGGCAGTGGAGCATCGTGAAAAGATGCAGTCCCATGGTAGCCGGTGATCAATGATTGATTCGTACGCCATTTGTTCCCTCAGGATACTGGAGCCCATGTGCACCATTGGTTTGGAATCAGGGTTCTCCAACTCCATTAGGTGAACTTTCCGTGTCCACCAACCCGGTTAAAGCGCCGGACATTCGCTTTTCGTCTTCTCAATTTCGTAAACAACACGCCCCGCCACGAGAAGGTAGTGAGTAGGACTTCCCTGGCAGAGGCTATATATTCGCTGGCCATATGAGAGGGAGAATGGACTTTCCCCACTCTCGGCTGTACCAGGGCATTTGGGGGCATGAGTTACTTTAGTCTCAATGAGAATAAAGTTATGCTCAGTAGTCTATCGGTTAAGTGCTCTGGCGCGAAATTGATAGGTCCTGGGTTCGAATCTCGCGAGGCGAGATCGTGGATGCTCACTGCTGAGGAGTCCCACAATAGAACAAAACAACCGTCCAGTGCTTCCAGGTTTTCCCTAGTGGTCTAGCTTCAATTGATTCACGCTTCCAACCATGAAAATACTAAATCTCCACAAAAAACTCCTTCTGATAATAATAACAAATAAACAAATAATTAAGTTCAATATATTCAAAGGAAGCTAAAGAATGTAGACATTCATGTCAATAAGCAGGATTTCAAGCTTTTTATAATAAAATGTTCATGAATATCTGGCTAATTCCAACAACAAAGTTCTACACGGCTCAATTAACTGACGAAATACTTTTCTGTATCCATCACTAATGATTTCTTTTTTCAAACAATCCATATGTGTTAATTAGGGTAGGCGGTTAATTAACATAACATAACATATTTCAACTACCTTAATCAAATGTATTTATTCATTTGACTTACTAGGTAGTATTGAAAAACAATAATAGAAATGCAATCTGACTGAGTTACGTAATATATAAGAACATAATATTGTATGTGCTGATTATGATGTAACTAACATCATAAATAACGTATTCAATGATTATTCCAGTTAAGTCACTGTTAATATCGACAAATAGTAATGTGTTTTTCTGATAGGAAATCTGAGAGCTAATCAGTCAATCAGTCAGTCACAAAGTAGAACTTCATACGTACGTACATCAGTTCGAGTTGCCATACCACATTAACACAGAGATACAGTTGTCGATTCAAATCCCATATTGGTAGAAGTAGTAAGAGTATAAGCATTATATGAAAGATAATTGTTTGAAGATGTTATTCAAGGAGTATAATACAGTGAACTAAATTTGGAAAGAGAAAAAATAAAGGGACATGAAGAATTCGAAATGTTAGAATTTGGTAGAGCACAAAGACTGGATGCTTCTTCACCATTGCAAACGATTTTGAGGAATGTCATTCAAGGTCTCTAACCATCGATTGCTATCATCTCGCGAATCCCAACCAGGTAGTCTACAACTACCAGCATGGCTCAGTTCAATTGTCAGTGACTTCGTGGATTTGCGCCACGTTTTAGTATAGCCACCCCTAGCTCTCTTCCAACCTACTCCTACACCATGAAACATTGCACGTCGGGGCAGTCGAAGGGTTGGGCATACGAAACACGTATCCCTGCCATCTCAACTGATGAATTTTCACTACTTCATCAATCGATTTTCTATCCTTACCTAGTACCCGTTTCCTAACAACCACATTACTTACCCGATGATACTTACGATGGATATACGAACAATGCTTTGAAGACATCTATGATCGAATACTAGTAGCCTACGAATATCCTCTACTCTTATCGGCCATGTTTCGCTGCCATAAAGTAGGACGGAACGAACTGCTGCACAAATAAACCCGTCCTTTTGTTGCTAGACGGATATCTCGCCTACGCCATAAATGACGCAAGTTGATGAAAGATAGATGAGCCTTCTGTATCCGTGCTGAGATTTCACCACACACCAGACCACAAGGTCTGATGAGACTCTCAAGATGAGTGAATCGGTTGACACGCTCAACCACTTCACTCCCTATCATTATTTCAGGTGCCTATGCAACTCAATGCTGAAGTAACATTTCGCTTTTCTAGGGGAAGAATCTCATCTTGAACATGCCTGCGTTGTTTCTTAAATTGGTTTGATAAGCGTTTTTTTCTGGATCATTTATAGACAATGTTAAATCTGAAACTTATATACCTCTGATCATATATCAGAAAAGAAGCTTTTAAATTGTTATTTTCATCATTGTAAGCACTTGGTTGGATGTTTCCAGTTATTTTCATAGTTGAAATCATGAGTCAATTGAAGCTAGACCACTATGGAAAACCTGGAAGCACTGAACGGCCGTTTCGTCCTATTATGGGACTCCTCAACAGTGCGCATCCACAATCACAGTTAGTTTTATTTTGAGTAGGCATTTCAAGATCATATATGTGCCAAATATGTAATTCAAATGAAACTTAAAATTTTCTTGAGCATTTACTGTCATAAATACTTCATTAGGTATATTGAATACATCTTTAGAAAGTACCATTGTCGAACGTTATAAAAATGAGATAACTCCAACAAAACAAACAGCGGGTTCGAATCTCGTCAGGCGGGATCGTGGATGTGCACTGCCGAGTAGTCGCAAAATAAAATGAAATGGTCGTCCAGTGCTTTCAGGTTTTCCATGTTGGTCTAGCTTCAATTGATTTATGATTTCAACTATATGAAATTACTAAAATCTCCACAAAACCCCCTTTCTAATAATAAATTAAAGTTCTGTTATCATAACAACAGGTAACTGAGACTAAGAGACAGATGTGTGTAACCATGTATTTATGAGTGGTAATCAGTTTGTCATACTATTGGGGGGGGAATTCAAAATCAAAACGGAAGATACAATGTCATGCGTTTTTAAATAACTATGTTACCATCACTCATGGTGAATGTACTAACTAATCCCTATCCCTAAACCCTTAACTGTTAATTCCCTATACAGGTTTATAACCGTCAGTTGGTTCTAGTTAGTAAGTGGATATTCTCAAGGTCATTCTAGTGTCTCCCAAAATATAACCTTGACATCAGTTTGATTTTAAATTCATGTAACTTTGTTGAATCCACCTCTTATTATTATTATTACGTTGTTATGTAACGAACAATTTCCTGTACAACTAAACAACATACTTAAATAAAAAAATATTTTTATGGTTCCATTTTTGTTTTTGTTTTAAAAAAAGGAATGAAACACAGTTTGAAATGTGTTTATTATTATTATTAAAGTTTAGATAAGATGGTGGTTGAAGGTGGTCAACAGGAAACCCTGAACCAGGTTTTCGTGCTACTTTGTATTCGTCAGCAAGGTGTACCTGTAATCTTGAGGGAATTGATGCTCCCTGATGGATTCGATCCCGTGTCACTCAGCTTCACAGTCAGAGACGTTACCACTGAGCTACTCGGGCTGCGATCACATTGCAACTTGACCGATAGCATTCGATCAGCACTAAGAAGGACTTGACATGCATGACATTGATCACCACCCAGTGATAAATCAATTGTGATTATTAAAGCTTATTAATCTATGTAGAGAAGGGTTTCTAGGAAACGAACGATTTAAGTTGTTCATTGGTTTAGTCGTAATATTGGTTGAAATAGTCAACAAAGTTAAGCCTAATTAAACACTGACTAGTTTATCTGTGCTCATATAATACAAAATGATCGTTAGAGTTAAGTTAACCTACAATAACCCCTTTCTCTTTCTCCATGTAATCGACTGAATCGTGAAAACATCAACATCTGGAGGGAGATACAGTGGACAGCTAGGACGTAGCTGGATTATTTATACTTCACAGATGATCTGGCTCTTCTGTCGCACGCGCAACAACAAATTCAGGAGAAGACGACCAGTGTAGCAGCATCCTCAGCAACAGTAGGTCTTTATATAAACAAAGGGAAAAGCAAGACTCGCCAATACGATACAGCATGCACCAATCGAATTACACTTGATGGAGAAGCCATCGTCCAACATTGTCTTCAGTGAGTTACTATCCGACAGCAGTCCTGGTTGAACTTCACTGGTTATTGTTTCTCGCTAGAACTCAAGGAAATACCTCTTGGAGTCAGTCATTAATGAGCATATGTTGATTATTATCAGAAGGGGTTATTGTTGGTATTATAGTAATTTTAGTAGTTAAGATCATCTATCGCTCAATTTCGTTGATCGGTTGAAGATAGACATTAACACCTTTGGATGCCGGCCGGCTCAGTGGTCTAGAGGTTAAGCACTTGCGCTCGAGAACGTTAGGTTGTGTGTTCGAATCTCGTGTATTATTTACTTGTCTTATTTCTGTCATTCTTGTGTCACATTGTTTTCAATCTTTCATTTTGTCTAGAACAATTAACCTTGGTGAACAAAGTGAACATTTAAATAAACAATTTCATTATTTTGAATCAGTCAATATGATTTTGTTTTTTATATCACTTGAAGATGTTTATCGTTTCACATATATTCAAGGGAATAAAGTAAGTTGATATTGTTCTCCATGGTGTTATTATGGCTTATTTAAGATCGTAACCTATTAGACAAATGTTTCGTTACTGCATAGATTCATCATCAGATCGAAACTATGATTTCTGTCTTGAAATGATTAGTCTACGATTGATAATTTACATGTTATTATTTATACCGAATATATATCAAGTCAGGGTTGTTGTTAAAAGAACTTATGTAGATGACCGTTGTAACGATGCATACTGTTACCCCAAATGCCCTGGTACGGCCGAGAGTGGGGAGAGTCCGCTCTCCCTCTCCAAATACTCTCATATGGCCACGTGCATACAACCACTGTCAGGGCAGTCCTACTCACTGCCTTCTCATGCCACAAGTGTTGTTTACGAAATTGAGAGGACAAAAAGTGAAGGTCCGGCGCTTTAACCGGGTTGGTGGACACGGAAAGTTCACCTAGTGGAGTTGGAGAACCCTGATTCCAAACCAATGGTTCACAATGGCTCCATTACCCTGAAAGAAAAAATGGCGCATGAATCAATCTTTGGTCACTGGCTACCATGGAACTGCATCTCCTCAAGATGTTCCACTGTTTTGTGGATCAGACTTTTAGGTTGAATAGCTCCGGGTGTGACCCCTGTATAGTATCATAGCCCTCACACCAATCGAATGATTTATGTGAGGGTGCCTTATCATACCAATGTTTATGTATTTAAGTAAAATTTGAAGAAAAATAAATAATAGGTCATATTAACTATTACTTTAGTGAACAAGAAGACGAATGGGGATAGATGAATGTACTAGGGCATAAAATTACAAACTATCTCACTAAAATCTGACGACCATACAGTAAACAGTTCATTTGTAAACTTAACAATTAATTATCTCAATCTTGACTGTTCCTTCTGTAAATATCGGTCGATCATCTCTGATTATTACTTTTCGTGCATTGTCATACCAATCGCGTCCCGTTCTCGTCCTCTCCATGTCGATTTTCTACTGAAATACATTCAATGTTTGACCATCATTATATACTACTTATATGGATATAAGTAGCCTACACAACTCTTATTTAAATAGCACCAAACAACATGATTTCTTTTGTTCCTATTAGATTAATCAGTTGTTTTTTCTTGTTTCTATGATACTACTGATTAATTTTTTTTTGTTTTTTTTTTAGATTATTCATCATCCATCATTTAAATTATTTGAAGATGTAATTCATTCACCAGATTTAACTAAAAAAGACATAATTGTATTTTTAAATAAATATGATAAATTAAAAGTACTCATTACACAATACAATAATAATAATAATAATAATAAGGATCATGTGGATAAAATAGGTGAGTTTCTTTCCTTTTTTTATTGCAAAAGCCGAGGAATCCATGACGTGTGTTTTCTCCTATTCAGGACTCATCAGTTCGATATACCTACATCTTAGAGTTGATGTTCACTCTGGGACTTGAAATCAGTACTGTTCGCTTCAAACGCCATCACGTTATCCACTCAGCTGACGAGTCGTAAAGAGGATGAAACACGCGTCCTGAATTTCACTGCTAGTCACTATCTATCTTTGCTTATAATGCTTGTGAATTAAGGCTATATTGAGGCAATACGCACATTATGCACATATAGTCAATTACAGACTGATAAATTGCAGTCCTAAACATCAATAGGAAGATTCAACCAAACAATATCGAGGGATTTCAAGTATTCAATTGTTTGTATAACCAATAAGCTTTTAAGAAATAAACGATGATATAATGAGAATTAATGCAAATTATCAATAAACGTAGGTTAAAACGAATGTTTCTCATAATTTTGAAATAAAAATACTCTTCAGGATGTAATCATAGTTATCATTATAAGCAAAGATAGATGGTGGCTAGCAGTGGAATTCAGGCTGTGCGTTTCATCCTGTTCAGGACTCGTCAGCTAGATGTACGTGAATCACATAGTTGATGTTCCTTCTGGGACTTGAACTCAGTACTGTTCGCTACAAACTTCATCGTGTTACTCACTTAGTGCATTATTTAATCAAACCGTAAAAGATTTACATATTGCCAATATGAGACTCATCAAGTGCAGTCCTAAGCATCAATGGGAACATTCAAATAAATAATATAAAATGAATTCCTAGTCATATTTATCTACTCCTTGGTGTTGATCGAGTGAATATGTCATTTGATCACTAGCCTAAACCACTTGACATTAGTCATTACACAATGATTCATCAGTGTAAATATTTTAATCATACAAGATATCAGTTTTGAGCTGATTAGCTTAGTGCCGATGTCTTCGGTAGTGATATTGGATGACATAAATTTGCATTCCAAGTAAAGCTTCAAGACAGCATATACACAGTGATGATGATCGACAACTGTTAAGAATCGTCGGTGGAATAGGGGTTCCTTTCGATCATTTCAATTGGATATTATGCACATAAAAAGTAATTCTAATCTTGTTATCATATATTCATATACTTAACCAGTTATTTATAAGTACTTCTTTTGAAATCTATTCGATTCTTAGTACTGTGACAATGTTTGATAGATTGAGTGCTTCAGTATACACTTCAGTATATTATTAGATCGTTTCAAGCATCAATAACTCGGTCAAATGATATTGGATCAAGAATAGAAGAAGTTTAAATATATCATCTAATATTACTTTAAACATTGAAAGAAGTGGGTTTTAATTCCACTGATTCTCTTACTTACTTACTTACGTCTGTTACCCCACGTGGAAGAGCATAGGCCACACACCAGTATTCTCTGTCCAGCCTGTTACTCCACTGATTCTCATATTTGATTAATTCAACATATAATCAATATTTCCTATTATGAGACTCCTCAGCAGTGCGCATCCACGATCCCCCCACGCGGGATTCGAACCCACGACTTATAAGTCTCGCACCAGAGCACTTAACCTCTAGATCACTGAGCCGGCCGGCATCCAAAGGTGTTAATGTCTAACTTCAACCAATCCGCGAAATTTGAGCGACCGTTGACCAATTGTCTTCACTAAGTTATTATCTCACAACAGACGTGATTGAGATCCACTGGTCACTGCTTCCCACTACTGAAATCTTCACAACACCCCTTCTGAATATAATTAACAACCATGTCAATTCGGATACATAAATTCTCAATCTTTTTGATAGTGCTAATCACTAATCACTAATCTGTTAAGAATATCAGTTATAAGCTTTGTTAGTAGTTAAATATATTTTATCGTTTAAAATAAGGTAAATAGCTTTGGACATTCACACATTGATGAATAATGAAGAAATTGTTTAGATCTTGAACTTGAACTCCTCGAATTCTATCTTGATGGTACTAAGTACAGTCTATTGTATATTCGTAAGAAAAAACTATTATTATTCCTAGCTATGACAATGAAATTGTTATCTGTTAGGTTGTATTTGATTACATTCTACTGTATTCATTTGAAGATGACTATTGTGTTTGTAATCAAAAAGGGGGTTGGCGTTGTGAAGATTTCAGTAAATTTATAGTTGAAATTATGAGTCAATTGAAGCTAGTTCACTACGGGAAATCTGGAAGCACTGGAAAGCCGTTTTGTCGTATTGTGAGAGATTGATAGATCATGGGTTCAAATCTCATGAGAAGGGATCGTGGATGTACAGTGCTGTGGAGTCCCACAATAGGATGAAATGACCATCCAGTGCTTCGAGGTTTTCCATGTTGGTGTTATATCCCCTGGTGAATTATGAATGGTAACTCTAAGGACTATTTATCGACCAATGTATTATGCGTATTGTACAATTGTTACGTAACTAAACGATTCATATTTGTGTTTCTCTTATCATGAGCTTTATTTTGATCTTTGATTTATGATCATACAATTCTTGAGTTATAATCAGTTTATTGATTACTTTGGTTTGTATAAAAACCCAGTATGTTTGTAAATAACGATTCATATTGCCGAGGCTGTTATTTGTGTTCTGGACTCAACTGGCTGTGCTAGGCAGATCGCAAGACCAGTTAGCACTCAAGACTGCTCGTACGGGTTTCGTGTCACTGTTCCAATCGACAATTCGCTGATCCCTGTTTCGCAGTTCTATCGCGTCACACATCAACTACCCATCCACTCGGCCACAAGATATAACAGTTGGTCTAGCTTCAATTGACTCATGATTTCAATTATAAAATTACTAAAATCTCTACAAAATCTTCTTCTCGTAATAATCATATGCTCACTAGTGACTAGCTTCAAGAGGTATTTCCAGGAGTTCTAATGAGAAGCAGTGACCAGTGGAGTTCACCCGGGTCTTTTATGAGATAGTAACTTACTGAAGACAATGGTTGACGGTTGCTTAAGATTGTGTTTGTAATAATTTAGTAAAAAATATAATAGTTCTTATTCCATCCTGTATGATCTTCAATAGTTTGCCTATTTTATAACCATATCATTTCTCTAGTTTAGTATAAATAAATAATGAATAACTAAGTAAAAGCAAAGTAACTACAGGTTCATTGACTCTTTCTTTCTCTCTCTAGAGAGTAATAAACAGTTTTATTATGTTTGTTTGTTTCCCATCTTCTTCTATATGTAAGTATGTTTGTGCATTAGTGTGAATATTCACCTATCCATGTATATGGGTTCACGTATACATGTTCACAGAGATTTGTAAGAAAAAAAAACAACTAGGGATATAAATAATTGAAACCATTAGTGATTGGTAAGTAATAAACATCCAGTGATAGAAATAAATGAACAGAATTCAGTTTAAATTCATTTAGTATTGTTTGTTTGAATCTTTCCATTGACGAAACACGCGTCAAACTGAATTCCACTGCTAGCCACTATCCATCTATGTTTACCATGCTTGTGAATTTAGACTATATCGAGACAATACGCCATAGTATGCACATATGGCCAATAAGAGACTGACCAGTCGCAGTCCTAAGCATCAATAGGAAGATTCAAACAAATAATACTAAGTAAATTTCAACTTCACCCCATTACACAAGCAATTGGTTATCAGGACTCAGTGGCCGAGTGGATAACGAAATGGCGTTTGAAGTGAAAGGTACTGGGTTCGAGTCCCAGAGTGAACATCAACTCTGAGATACAGGTACATCCAGCTGAGGAGTCTCAAATAGGATGAAACGCGCGTCAAACTGGATTCCATTGTTAGCCACTATCCATCTTTGTTTATTATTTTATATATTCTCTGTAAAACATTTCATTTGTTATATGATTCATCAATTATCTTTTTCATACATACCCTTTTATATATTACACAAATAATAAGAATAATAGATAAAAATAGGCGAAATTTTGATTTATGAAAGAACCAATCAGATATGAGAAAACGAGTCTTGAATTTTGGCGCGAAATACTATTTTGGCATTATAACTGATGTCAGTTGGTGATAAAAACCATAAATTTAATCCCTAACCATAACTATCAACTATAAATGTTAATTCTAGTTCCCCCCTCTGGTCTATAACTCCCATTTACTCCTAGGTAGTAGATGGATATCTTCAAGGTCATTCTAGTATCTCTCAAAGGTTGTCCATAAATTTTAAATCTCAACATAGAAATAATCTATCTATAGACATTTCAATAAGTAGAAATATAAGATTTTCTAATGTTTCGTAACTTATTATAAGCTGACTTCTTCAGAGAATAAAAATGATCTAAACAAAATGAAATGTTTAAATAAAGTCAGTACAAATATGAATGGAGAATAATATGAATTCATTATATTGTAGTGCTGTGCTTCGATAATAGTTCACTTCGATAACCGTTATTATGCCAATCTTAACGGTGTATAAAATCAGAAGACAAAGGATAGCAGCAACTACAGTTTATTGTCGAATGACTCAGGTTCGAAAGCTAACAACATCTGAGCGAATAATAACGAGCGAGTGAGCGGCAAGCGAGAGAGCGAAGCGAAAGATGATGCGTATTGGAGATGGCTGGGAAGCCAACTCGATTTAAGCAAGCGTTAATCAACATTTATAGTCGGACAAAAATGAGTGACAAGCATACGATGAATAAGATACGAAGTGTACACCTATATGCTCATATAAAAGTATGATTTTTTCTGGTTAGCGTTTTTTTAGCGAGTTGATTTTCTACGGGATGGGGTCGCTAACCCCATGCCCAACCCTCCTCTTTTACCCGGGCTTGGGACCGGCAGTAGCCCCTGGAGGAGCTACAGGCGGAGTTCATATAAAAGTATAGTCAAGGTTTATAAGCAAATGATTAACAAGATCAAAACATGACTCATAATGAATAGGCGAATTGGCTTGGTCAGCAACTAGAATAAAGTATATGGGCTTAACATATAAACTGATAATACAATATTTCGTAGTTTCTCATCAGCTGCTTATAATCAAATCTGTAATAGAATTTTAACATTGACTTCTATCCAAAGTTTGTGCTGTTAATGTCGTTCAGAAGCACGATGAAAGATCCACGACCAAACCATCCAATTCAGAGAACAAAACTCTATCAAAATCATCCAACTGAGCAACAAATCTTCTTCATCATTTCAATTAACATAAGTGAATGTAAAGGATAGGAATGACAAAAAGTGTTAGAATCAAGGAAACATAAAGTATGGGTGGTGTTATAGTTGAGTGGAGTTCACATATAGATAAGTTATGTGGTGAGTTTAGAGGTAATAAAGGAATCATGAAATTAAAAATAAATAAGATGGGTTACGTAATAATGTAGTAGAATTTGAAGAGTTAGTGGAAATGTGGGAATGAAAGGTTGGTTTAAGAATTGGTTAATAGAAGATGAATATAATACAAAACTAAATATTAACCAAAATAAAATTAATGAACAAGAAAAAAAATACAAAATAATTAAATTACCAGGGTCAGTCAATCAGTCAGCTACAAAGTAGGACCAGGCACATATATTCATCGGTCCATGTTGCCATACCTCATTAGCACAACAAGATGAACACTAAATTCATAGAAGTAGTTAATTAAATGATGGTAATATATAAAAAAAGATTGCATATACCGATATAGTACAGGAAGGAAGACAGATACGAAGCAATTTTAATCTCATAGTTTAAGGGAAAATAAACAGTGTATACAGCTACGTCATTGTGATCGATTCTGAACCATGTCACCTAGTGTCTCCAACCATTGGTTACGATAGTCATGCAAACCTCAACCAAGTAGTCTACATTTACCAACATGGCACACACCAGAAGTTAGTGACTTCAAACTCTGATGTCACATTTTTGTTTGACCGCCTCTAACTCTCTTTCAACTATCCCACTTTACTAGTCAACATAACGCATCGTGATAATCAGTGTTCATGTATACTTAACAACATGTGGATCAACCATCGATTCCCTAATACCTTATGTCTAATCTCACTATTACTTACCCTAAGATAATAATAAGTCTATTCATGTTTCTTTCTTTCTTTTCTTTTCTTTAGATTGGAATACCTTTATTCAAAGGATCAAATCTAATCTTATTGAATTATATAATAATCATAATAAAACATCACGTTTATTATTTCATATAACATGTTTATTAGATATAGATAAAATGAAATGGATTATTAATGATTCTATACGAACTATTATAGAAATTAATCGAAAACGTCATTTAATTTTTTAAATAAATAATCATTACTCTCTTTTTTTTTGTTTTTTTTTAATTTTTAAAAAAATTTCTTTAGTTTTTCTTTTTTCCAATTTTCTCTTTTCCTCTTTTTTCTTTTTCCCTAATTTTCTTCCTTTTCCTTTTCTTTTTTCCAATTTTTTCTTTTTTCTAATTTTCTTCCTTTTATTTTTTTATTTTTTCCAATTCTTTCTTTTTCTCGTTTTTCTTTTTTAATTTTCTTCCTTTTCTTTATTTTCTTTTTCTTTTTTCCAATTTTTTCTATTTCTCGTATTGTCTTTTTTTTCTAATTTTCCTCCTTTTCTTTCTTTCAAATTTCCTTCTTTTCTTTTTTCTAATTTTTGCTTTTTTTCTTTTTTCCTAAATTTCTTTCTTTTCTTTTTCTCTTTTTACTTTCTCTCAATTTTTCTTTTCTTTTTTCTTTTTCCCCCCCGGCCTTATTATTTACTTTTATTTAATGTTTTATTGAACATTGAATAATATTGAATGTGTGTATGAAAGCAGATAAACAAAAATGAATAAATAAATAAATAAATAAATCAGTTTATATGTCAATTTAATTTGAATTTTGTTTTATTAAATTGATATTTGAATGTTAGATTTGGGTTTCTTAAACTATTCTCATAACCCCTTTTTTTAAGTTAAGTCTACATGGTGACTTAGAATATGACAGAAGAAAGTGTGAACTATTGGAAGTAATACTTTAATTCAAGATTTGTTTATGGATAGAAAATTTATGTTATTAATAACAGTTTAGATGGGTTTGAGGTTCTGTAGAATTGTATAACACTACTTTACTGTTAGGATATTCACAGGAATATCCCAAAATTATCTTGAAAGTAAAGTCGTATGTTTCCAGACTCTTCACATATTTCGCATGTTATTTTCTATTGGTCAATTTTTACAGTTGTCCTAACCATGACTTTCACGTGTCGTTTTCCTATTGGTCAATTTTGAGTTGTCCTAATTATAACCTTTACGTGTCCTCTCTTTCCATTGGTTACTGTTCATAGTCATTTTAACTGTATAAATATGCCTTGTCTGTAAACCATTTTCGTTCTGCTGCTGACCCCATAAACAAATCTCATTTAACGGCTGTGTTCTGATTTATTGGAGTTGGGGAAAAATATTGGGGTCGAACCAGGATATCTGAATTTGGTCAATCGGTAGAAATTCGTGTAGTCCTATCGCAATACGTAATATTTGGGAATTTATATTATTTACGTAGTAGTATGGGACAATCAAATGTACTGGATGAGAAAATTACAGAATCTCTTAGTGAAATGTGAGAATCATACAGTAAATACTGAATTTTCAAAATATTAATCAATTGTTTTAAATTTGACTATTCTTTTGCAAATGTCAATCAATCGTCTTAGACTTCACTGTTCCGTCATTTCATTACCAATGGCTTTCTGTTCCCCTTTCTTTCCTTCACGATCTTCTCGAACTTCTGCTGACAGATTTTCTATTCCTGATTAGCGTTATATACTACTTATGGTGATATAAGTAACACAAACCACAGTATCTGTATAGGTCATCAATTAATCGGAAACGTGACATATGACTTGTCACTTTCTAGATGTTTCTGGCAAAACTTCTATTGAACTCCGATCGAATAAAATGTTTCTCAGAACTTTCAAAGCCTTTCTTTGGCTTATTTCGAGGAATTTTCTGAATTCCCCCAACGTAAAGAAAATATCGGCTAAATTTAAAATTCGGTCACTTATACAATACTCAACTAAAATAGAATAGTTGAAAGCGTGAGTCAATTGAAGCTCAAATACCATGGAAAACCTAGAAGCACTGGACGGCCATTTCGTCCTATTATGAGACTCCTCAGCAGTGTGCATTCACGATCCTGCAATAGGATCCCATAATAGAACGTAACGACCTTCCAGTGTTTTCAGGTTTTTCATGGTGATTTACCTTTAATTGACTCACGCTTTCAACTATGGAGATATTAAGTCTTCACAAAATCTTTTCTGATAATTAAAATAGAATAGACATTCTACATATGTGAAGAAAATAATTGTTACTAATCTCAGGAAATATGAATAATCTGCTTGTCCATTTGTGTTCAGAATATACTCAAACTTAACAAAACAAACAAATAGGAAAGATCAATTAAATAAGCACATATAATTATTTGTCTGAAATGCAATGTATTTAACAGGCAGACTGTTGAGGTGATCCCGAAAATTACTTACAATAGACATGACAAGCTCAGGAAAACATTAAGAAGCATTTTTATCCAATCAGCGTTTGATTAAAAGTTTTGCTAGAAGTACTGCGAAAGTGAGAAGTCACATGTAGAGTTCCTGATTGACTGACTACTATACTGCTACTGTGTTTAGTAGTATTCTAGAATTTTCAGGAAAACCCATGGACTTCTAAAATACTATAAAAACCGTATATTATCTGTACATAAATGAACCTTTGGAGTAAAGTGATTCCCTTATATTTTGTGCCTTTTCAGTTGTGTTCAAGTCGCTGCGTAGTTCTAGCTTGGAGGTTACGAAACTAGCTTAGGATCCGAATACAGCGTTCAATCAATAAGACCTATAATGGACCAAGAGAACTTTTGTTTTCAAATCCATTTACCTTACTAGCATTTGATCTAGGAAATTCAAATGATCCGGTTTAAATGTCTGTATACATTACAAAAGTTGTAATAGTAATTTTGTTAATATACTATGAAGGGATTTGTTTCATCAACCATTTGGGATGATGCTGTATAACATGTGTGTAGAAAATGTTGTACGGGATCTTGGATGTGCACTACTGATGGGCCACACAATAGGATGAATTGGCCATCAAGCAGTGCTTCCAGGTTTACCATGATGGTCTACTTTCAATTAACTCATAATCTCAACTATATAAAATTACTAAAATCTCCACAAAACCCCCTTCTGATATAGAACTATTATTGATCATTAAAAAAACAAAAGTAACTAATAAACATTCAACATTTATTTATCTTTATTTTCTTTAGAACATACATACGTACATATAAATGAACAATATAAGTCAATTAATAGACATTTCTTGATCTTTTAACCAAGAAATTCATTGGTTGGTAACATTGATTGCCGATAAAGATCATAGTAGTAACTTGCTGACTTCTGTGGACGTTTAACTAAAAAGTAATTAACACATAAATATAGACAAATGTAGTGCAATGCTTTGCTAATCTTTCACCTAGATAACCGTTATAATATGAATCTTAATGGTGCATGTAATCCGAAGGCAAGGAGAAGCTACAACTACAATTTATTATCAAAAAAAAACGCAGGCCACAAAGCTATAAGCACATGAAAAAGTATCAGAGAGTAAAGCGAAAATAACACACATTGGAGATGGCGATAAGGCCAACTCTGTAGCCGTTTCTCCGCCACCAGTTTAGCTGTCTTCTCTGAATTTGTGCTAATAGGTTTTGGTGGTTTTTAATGAGAGCATTTACAAATAGACTCACTCTGACTATTGGTAGCAGCAAGACAAAACAAAATCTAATAATAAGATTTGAGTGCCTACATATATGGGGAGGAGGAGGAGGAGGATGAATTATCGAATGATACTCAAGCAATCAACGTTTTAGCTAGAGTCTGTCATATGCTCTAGTGATCATAACAGTAAAAAGATATATGCGAATTGTTACTATCCAAATGACAATATCTGTTAAGTAAGGTAATAAAAAGACCTTAATCAAAATTAACCATCATCGAAATTGGGTGTAGGATAGTTGCTATAATCATTTCATGATGTAGACTGAAAGAATCCTATATTATGGTATGGATCCGAGTAAATGGTTCAATATAACAGCAATCATCTAGTTCATTCAACCAATCATCTTAAGTTCATTGATATTCAAATGAATGTGTCTTCAAATAAATAAATAGATTCTACACATTTGTTTAGATCTAAGGATCGAAAAGACTGAGGGATCCTTAGTTCATTACATTTATATATCGAAAGAGGATAGTTATTGATTTTCTTAAATAGTTAAATTAATCTATATTATATATAGTTGAAATCAGGAGTCAATTGAAGCTAGACAAACATGGAAATCCTGGAATCACTGGACGGGCGTTTCGTCCCATCGTGGTACTCCTCATCAATGCGCATCCACGAACCCGCGTCGCGAGATTTGAACCCAGATAGTAAATTGATACATTTATACTACTTGAAGTCTATAAGTAGTTTAAAGTGGATATCGTTTGTTAGTTTAAACATCTAGTTACACAAAAATGTATAGAATTTACATCATAAACATATTTGACTTTCAGTCTACTCTACAATTCTATACTGAATGTGAGAGTAAATCAAAGTAGCCTTCTATGGTAGTAATAATAATAATAAACACTAGTTTCTAAAATAATTTAACTGTTGATGAAATGCAAATAAAATGATGTGTGTTTTTGTTTTTACCTTAGTTGCTTAATGAAAAATAGTTACTTATCAGTCATCATGTGACTTTTACTTAATTTATTTTTCTGATGAAATCAAGTTCGAGGTATACTCTGCACAAGACAAGCTGTGAATCACATTTTGAGAAATACAAACACTTCACTTCTACCCTGAAGTTTGTGCTGATGATGTTGTTCAGAAGTACAATGAAAGCTCTATAACCAAACCATCTAGCTCAGAGAACAAAACTCCATCAAAATTTTCTTTTTGTGCGATTAATAGTTCGTGGTCAAGTTATTAAAGTATAAACTAACTACTTATAATGTATTTCAGTAGTTAAATAAATTTTTCTCAAAATTACCTGATATTGGTAATCGGTCTTTCTTTTTAAGTCTACGTTCATGTACCCGTTTAAACCATAATTCTTCTCTGGGAAAGTCCATCATGTAATCGGAATTAGTAAAATCCATGAGTGGTTCATCTAGATTTTTTTTAAACAATATATAAGTAAGAAGAAAGATACATTGTGAAAACGAAATAAGCAGATTACTGCTATGCTACTATCCAATCATAGTATGTTAAGTTGATATTCTAGAGAACTCCATCACGTTCTGATTAGATGGAAACTCTTCGGCTTTTTTAGGGCCTATGAAAGCTATATCGTAATTCTCGGAAGCCGTATCCACAGAACCGATGTCTCTTTTTTTTTCCAGCAGTTTCAGTGGTTACGACCAAATAGATCATTGTTTTATAATACAAAGCAGGTCAATAACTTAGATAAAAAGACACCAATTTAATATTCATTGAAATCATTGAAATTACGTAATAAGTGTTCAGATAATTAGACAATGAAGAATAAATTTGATAATAGGGGTCAGGAATAAATAAACGAACAGAATATTTTGAAAATAATAACAAATAAAATAATTTCTTAAGCCTGATTCGATCGAAGAAGAGATAAAGGTATTTCACATTTCCAATGAATACCAAGACTTGACTTGTCATCTGAAAACCCTATAGTTTCTACCATATATAAGAGACAAGATCGAAACCCATAAACAGAAGTAGTGGGTATATAATAAATTACTGGAGGTGATTTATTTCTATCTATTACAGGATCGCTATGGGATAGATATGATGGAACGGAGGCGGGTATTGTACTGGTTACATTCTTACTTTATCATCAGGGGAGGTGTTCACCACCTTGTTGTCTCGGTTGTCTGAATATATTACCAAAATACCTTTCTCCATAGGAGCAGATGGCTTCATAGATAAACATGGGTGTAAGATAAGCAGATTCAAGATTAAAGAAAAGAAATAACTTAACAACCGGCGATGTCACTATTTTCATGTTCACCGTACGCATATAGCTCATCAGAAAACCTTGTTCATAACTCATTTCATTCAAAATATTATGAATGAAATCTCCGCCTGTAGCACTTCTAGGATTACTGCCAGTTAAAAGTTCGGGTAAGGGATGAGAGTTGAGCATGGGGTCATCAAACGTATTCCGTAGAATACAATCGTCATAAAAAAACGCTAATCAGTAAAAGTTATATAAACTTTTTCCTGGGAGTTGAAGGATCTTCATTTAGAAGAATTATAACGCCTTATGATGAAAGTCGAGATTCTTCAAAAGTTATGCGGATGATGTCCCTTATAACAATCACAGAAACAGTTAATATATGTACATGGAGTGTCCGGACAATGTGAGAGACTGAGAGGACCAGTAAAATAGGAAAGGAAATGAGGAGATACAACTTGACAGTATTGAGAATCACCGAAACCCATTGTACCCAAGCTGAAGGAAAATGGTTAGATTCGGGAAAGATGCTGCTGTATTCGTATCACGAAGAAAAAAATGCTTCGCGCACCAAGGGAGTTGCTCTGATACTTTCCAAAGAGGCGCGTAAATCACTTATAAGATGAGAATCTCATGGATCGGGGGTCATCAAAGCATCCTTCAAAATAAAGAAATAGGGAATCACGATAAATTTTATTCAGTGTTATGTACCCACCAATGATAACAATGAAGACGATAAAGATCAGTTTTACGAGAGACTGCAATCGACCATAGAGAAGTGTCTATGAAAGAACCTGACCATCCTGATGGGAGATCTAAATGCTAAAGTCGGAATGGACAACACGGGATATGAAGATATCATAGGATGACATGGACTCACTGGGAGAAAGCAACAAGAATGGTGAGAGAGTTGCAAATCTATGTCCATTCAACAAATGAATTACAGGCGTCACAATATTCACACACAAGAAAAAAATCAAGATTTCCAAACACATCACGGAGAACATCAAAACAATAGCACTTGATGGAGAAACTCTGGAAAAGATAAAATCTTTCATGAACCTGGGAAGCATCATTGGTGAACAAGGAGGATCTGATGCAGCCGTTAGCGTAATGTTCCTACAGTCAAAGAACATGTGGAACTTAAATCAACCGTCTACAAGCGAACACCAAAGTCATTATCTTCAATACGAACGACAAGAAAGTTCTACTGTATGAAGCTAAAACCTTGAGAACTACTACAATCGTCGTCACAATAGTAAAAGTAATCACAAACAATTGTCCACGTAGGATACTCAATGTCAGTTGGTCAGACATCATCAGCAACCACCACTTGTGACTGAGAACAAATCAACTTCCATATGAAGAGGAACTTAGGAAAAGATGTTGGAAGTGAATATGGCATACATTGAGGAAATCATCGAACTGCACAATAAGGCTATCCCTAAATTTGAATCCTGAAGGGAAACAGAAAAGAGTAAAACCAAAGAACACATTACGCCTAAAATTGGAAGTAGACAAAAAAGAGATGAATAGTAACTGGAAACAAGGATCTAGGACAAAATGTATTGAGGAATCTTGGTCGGTAGCCTACGCTGCACTAGAGATAATAAGCCTAAGTAAGTAGATAATTCTAAATAAACCGTAGTTATATATTAATACTGTCATTTGACCATATTCTCCTATTCTTATTTTCAATGCATCTTACTAGGTTTCATTATTTCATCAATTTGTCTATAATACAGATGTTTCAAAGTAATCTGTACTGCTGAGGAGTCCCACAATAAGACGAAACAGCCATCAAGCAGTGCTTCCAGGTTTTCCATGGTAGTCTAGCTTCAATTGACTCATGATCTCAACTATATCATTCATTAATACGAAAAACAAAAACAAAAACAACAACAACTGATCACAATATACTCACCATATTCATGTATCATCCGATTACAATTGTTCAATACAATAGAGAATACAATAATTATAAATGATGATAAATAGAATTTCATGCAAATCATATTCATTAATCTATTGTAATTCTAATAATATAAAAAAACAAACAAGCAAAGTGAAAATATGGATACCGATGAACTTGTCAAACAAACAAAAAAACCCCTTCTGATAATAGTCATCATATGCTCACTAGTGAATGACTTCAAGATATATGTCTTGGAGTTCTAGTGAGAAGCAGTGACCAGTAGAGTTTAAACCACGTCTATTGTGAGATATCAACTCACTGAAGACAATTGATGAACGGTTGATCAACTTCATGGATTAGTTGAAGTTAGACAATAACACCGTTGGATGCCCACTCAATGGTTCTAGATGTTAAGCACTCTAGCGTAAGACTAGTTGGTACTGGGTTCGAATCTCGTGAGTGCGGGATCGTGGATGCGCACTGCTGAGGAGTCTCTTATTCATATTAATAAAATGCCTATTAGTATCAAGAACTGATATTAAGATGGTGGTTGCAGGTAGTCAATAGGAAATTCTGAACCTAGGAATCGTGATTAAAGCTAAACCACCATGTAAAACCTGAAAGCCATAAACGACCGTTTCGTTTCAATATAAGACTCTTCAGGAGTGCGCATCCTCGATCCCGCCTTCGGGATAAAGATAAGTGATAAGTGAATTGTTCTAAATGTAAGATTTATGAAGAATATCTTCTTTATCCTTCTAATTGAAGTGATATTAATATATATATATGCATAGATATACATAACATTTTTTGTATTCTAAGTCGGCTATACCGGCAATGTTCTTTTAAAAGTCATTAGTATTATTATTATGTCAGAGATTTTCTGCACCATTTCATCAGGGATTCAATCAACCTTAACCAATTATAGTCATTCCCATAGATATATAAGAAATGGGAAACGTCTTCTTTTATCGGTGCTTTTTATATAATAAATAATTAATTTCTATCCTAAAAGTTCAACAATCTTATTGAGGGGAAAAAGAACAGCAAATGAACAATCCAATGAAGGAAACTTTTCTTTTTTTCTTTCATTGAAGTTATACAATCCTATTTATAGTTTACTTATCCTATATACTTTCTTATTTAGATAATTCAACTAACTATAGGGGAAGGAATTAAGGCCAAACTCTTATCTTGGATTGTATTAAAATGTATCTACATGCTTAGTTGCCACCTTTGTGAAGTATGTCACTGGTAGTATGTTGTGTGCTACTGATGTCGATAGATATAAGTAGTATATATCATCAGTTGAAAGTGAAATACTTGGCAACAGAAGGTTAAGAAGATTGAAAAAAAAGAGAATGAGAATACAGAATGATTGATGTATAAACAAAAGAACAATGAATTATAAGAGGATTGACTGATATTTTCCACATGTTGGTATCAGAAGAGGTTTAGCAGAGATTTTAGTAATTTTATAGTTGAACTCATTAGTCAATTGAAGGTAGACCACCATGGAAAATCTGGAAGCATTGGGTGGCTATTTTGTACTATTGTGGGACTGCCCAGCAGTGCGAACTCACGATCCTGCCTCGCAAGATTTGAACCCTAGACCTGTCAGTCTCCTGAGCAAATGCTTAACTTCTAAACCAACGAGTCGGCTGGCATCCAACAGTGTTAATGTCTAACTTTAAGAAACTATCCGGCTGAGTGGTCTGTAGGTTAAGCGTCCTCGTGAAAGACCGATAGGTTTTGAGTTCCAGTCACGTGAGGCGTGATCCTGGATGTGCAATGCTGAGGAGTCTCACAATAGGACGACACTGCCGTCTAGTGCTTCCAATTTTTCCATGGTGGTCTAGCTTCAATTGACTTGTGATTTCAACTATAAAATTACATTAGTTATTTTGTTTTTACCAAAATCTCATTTAAGTATGTCAGACTTTAGACATTGTTGTAATGAAGATTTATTTCAACAATTTATTAAATTTCTTTTGTAAGTAATACTTAATAACATTATTAGTAGTATTGTCATGATAAGAAATAATTAAACAATATGGTATAACTATTGAAGTAACAATAAGATTATCAGGAGATATACATGCTTCAGTTCTACTCTATGACTCGGTTATAAATTCATAAACTTGTAGATAGGAAATCATTACTGTAATTCACTTGATATTGTTTGCTTATAAAGCTTGTGAATCAACGGAATATCGAGGTAATACGCACAGGATACAATATATGTCAATAAGAGACTGATAATCGATTGCAGTCTTAAATGTCAATGGGAACACTCAAGTAGACAATGCTAAGTGAATTTAAACTTCACCTCATTTACAAGTGAGTGGCTATCGGGACTCAGTAGGTAAGTAGGTAATGCAATGGCGTCTGAAGCAAAAGGTACTGGGTTTAAATCTTGGAATAAACATGAAATCTGAGATGCAGGTATATAGAACTTACGAGTCCGAGATAGGGCGAAATATGCGTTCTGGATTCTAGTGCTAGTCACTATTTATTTTATTTTTTTTTAGCATTTGACTATGTTGGAACCAAGGCAGTCACCCAAGAATGATATTGAAGGATGTCATATTATGTTGTAAATAAACTGAAGTTGAAAATATGAACCTCTTCAAATGATACGACTACCTACAATCTAATTTTATTAAAACTTTCAACCTAGAAACAATTTCTAGGTAATCTACTCAGGATTAACATATCCTAATAAAGATTGATCATTCATAGTAGAGATATTCAGACTTTATATATATAACTAAAAGAAATAGTTTCAATCTATAGTGTGGTTTACTGTCCGAAATTTCGGGATAAATATGAGATCCAGGACACGCGTTTCATCCTATTTGGAACTCGTCAGCTGGATATACCTGAATTTCAGAATTCATATTCACTCCTGTACTTAAACCCAATATCGTTCGCTTTAAACGCCATTGCGTTACCTACTTACCTACTGAGTCCTGATAGCTGTTCGCTTATGCAATAGGTTGAAGTTTCAATTCATTTAGTATTGTTTGTTTGAATATTCCCATTAATGCGTTTAAGAATGCAACTAGTCAGTCTCTTATAGGCAAATGTGCATCCTGTGTATATTGCCTTGATATAGCCTTAATTCAAAAGCATTCTAAGCAAAGATGAATATTAATTTGATATTTAGATATGATAGATGTAGATTTCATAATAATACACCTTAATACACAATAAGGATATGTACAAAAGAACTTTGTATACATATATAATCTATATTTATAAACTTCTAATCGTTATTGCTCGAATAACTCCGCCTGTAGCAACTGGAAAGAACTGGAAAGGAAGGCTCAGGACAGAGTTGGATGGAGAATGCTGGTGAGCGGCCTATGCTCCTCGACGAGGGGTAACAGGCGTAAGTAAGTAAGTAAGTTATTGCTCGAAAGATTCACTACTTCTTAACCATTTTCATTTGTCTATTCTACAAAGATTTGAATCATTAACAAGTTAACACGATATCTATCAGTGAAAAAGAATTCGATTTGGGACAATCAAATATATTCGAATACGAAATCACAGAGCATCTTAGTAAAATTTAAGAATTATACAGTAAAGAATTCATTTGAACAAAGTCAATGAATCGTCTCAAACTTGACTGTTCCTTCGTTTTCACATTAATTATTCTCTATTCTTATTTTGTTTTTTTCTTTTTTCCCAATCTTCTTAACCTTCTAATGCCAAATATTTCCATTTTCTATATTCATGTTCCATACTACTTATATTTATCAACATCAGTAGTATACCCCCATAACATATAATTTTTTTTTTTATTTAAACGATATCTTCGTTTTTCATTGTATAACATTCATTAATACACAAGAGACTAAGATGAATTTAATAAAGTTTAATTATATTTTAGTTAAAACAGCATACTTCAATCTTCTTTCTATTCTTCTTTCTATTCATTCAGATAAATAAATATTCTAAGGATAATTTAAATATCCCACTTTTATTCAAGGTTATTATTACTATTACTAATACTATTCTTCATTTAATATTGTTTGTTTAAATCTTCCCATTGATGTTTTTTAGGACTGTAATTGATCAGTATTTAATTGGCATATATGCATACTGTATGTATTGTCATGATATTGCGTTTGAAGTGAATAGTACTGGGTTTGAGTCCCAAAGTGAACATCAACTCAGAGATGTATGTAAGCCCAGCTGATGAATCCTAAATAGGACGAAACGCGTGTCAAACTAGATTTCACTGATAGTCACTATCCATCTTTGCTTATAATACAATTATTACTACTATTATTACTATTATTAGTATTATTATTATTATTATCAAGGCTTAAACTCTTAATCAGTCAATGTTCAATATTTTTTTTTTAATTTTTAATTTATATCCAATTCAGTTCATTTTTGTCAATCTATTTAAATGTAAATTAGATTTCTCACAATTGGATTAATCAATCAGTATGGAAATAGAAGAAAAATATGAATCTAAATGATAATAGAAAAGAAAAATTAAGGTGTCATATAATGGTTAACTTTTTGTTTAACTAAACTACTGAATGTTGTTCAATGTAGAAATTTGAGAAATCTTTTGAATTTTTCATAATTCAAATCATAAGTCAATAGAAGCTAGACTACCATAGAAAACATGGAAGCAATGAACGGTCGTTTCGTACTATTGTGGGACTCCTCAGTAGTGCACTTGCAAGATTCCGCTTCGTGGGATTTGAAGCCAGGTACTATCAGTCTCGCGCCAAAGAACTTAACCGATAGACCACTAAGCTAATCGGCATCCAATTGTGTTAATGTCTAACTTCAAGCAATCCACGAAGTTTGAGCAACCATTCATCAGTTGTTTTCAGTGAGTTGTTATCTAACAACAGACGTGGTTGAACTCGACTTGTCACTGCTTCTCACTAGAACTACAGGACATATATCTTGAAGCCAGTCACTAGTGAACATATGATTATAATCAGAAGAGGTCTTGTGGAGATTCTTTTGAAATTTAGTCTCTACTGATTAGCATATAGATATGAGATTGTATACAGCATTACTGACAGAATAAATTGATATAGTTATGTTTTCATTTTTCGTTGGAGTTATAATTGGAGAATTTCTATG